TTGACTACTAGAAGACTGATTGCTTAGAAGGAAGTTGATCAGACTGTGGGCAAAGGCAATCTGACATCTCTTCTGCTCTGAAGGTGCTTGACAGATGCTAATCCTTGCGCTAACCAGGTTCAAAGACCTGAAACCTGGGTGGAGAGCCAGGTGGGCTGAAGCCACTGAGCTGCTTCTGCCCCATGGTTTCTCAACCTTGGCACTATTGCCATTTGGGGCTGGACGCATCTTTGCTGTGGGAGACTGTCTTGCACGTTGTCCTGACCTCTATTGCTAGATGCCAGAGGCACCCTGCACTCCAGTTGTGACAACCAAAATGTCTCTAGACATTGCCAAATGTTCCCTAGGGACAAAATTGTCCCCCCCCATACACATTTGAAAACCACTGGAATAGGGCAATGTTTTCAAACTAGGGTGTATCAGAATCTCCTAGAAGGCTTGTTGAAACAAATTCTTGGGTACCATCCTGAATTTGATTCAATAAGTTTTGGGTGGAACCTGATGATTTTCAATTCTCTAAAAAGTTTCTGGATAACAACACTCTGAAAACCACTGGCACAGGGATATTCTCAACTAGTTCAGCTTAGTTCTACCTAGAACAGAGGGTGAAGTTCTGCTTTCACTCTTCCCTCCTTAATACAAGCTGTGCAAGTCCCTACTTTCCTACAAGGCCTGGCTTGATAAGCCTTCCTCCTCTAGCCATATGTTTTGGGGACCAGCACTATATTCAGCTCCAGGGAATGGCTCTCATAGCATCTGAGTCATGTGTAGTAATCCCATTCTTCTTGCCAGTGATCAGTGAAGATTTTTGTTATTTCTAGCAAAGTATCCTTACTATAGCATGGATAGATATAGATAGCATGTGTGTAGAGCTGTGCTGTCTGATATCATAGCCACTAGCCACATATGGCTATTGAATTTCTATTTAAGCAAAATTAAAGCTTTGCTTTTCCTTTTTCACTAGGTACGTTGCAAGCGTTCAGTAGCCACATGTTGCTAGGGGCTACCGTATTGTATAGCTCTGGTCTTACAGGTCTTATAGGTAAGACCAGAGCTACACAATACGGTAGCCCCTAGCAACATGGTAGCCCTGAGATTAGGTTAGGTGGATTCTCAGTTTTTCTTCACACTCTTTTTCTAATTGTTCCCCTCTATAAGATTTTAATTCCATATATATTATATATGCTCTATGCCTGTTCCTTACACATTGGAAAAAGTAAGACTTATCCCCTCTGTATTCCTCCAGACCCAATTTTCACCTCCTTGGAGGTTGATACTGTTCCCTGTTGCAAATACATGGCTAGTGTGGTAGTCATAAGTAAGTTTAGGCAGGGATTTTAGGTCACTGTAAAGAATTTGGATTTTATTAAAATTAGGAGACAATGAAAGAATTTTAAGGATAGGATTGGCATGGTCAGTTTTGCCTTTAGAAAGTTACTTCAAAGGCAGAGGGGCCAAGATAGCTGATTAGAAGCAGCTGCAGTGCTCATGGAGAGGAATGAAAGTGGCAAGTGAATTTAGCACCTTCAACTGAAATATCCAGGTTCTTGCATTGGGACTGATTAGGAAAACAACTTGACCCACAGAGAACAAAGAAAAGGGTGGGTGACGACCCAGTTGGGAACAGCCTGGAGCCAAAGGAACCCCTGCTCCCAGCCAAGGGAATTGGTGAGTGCGAGTGGTGCAACCCCACTCATGAAACCACACTTCCCCCATGGTTCTTTGCAACCTGCAGATCAGGAGATCCCCTTGTGAGGTCATACCATCAGGAGCTTTTAAACATATGAATGTATGCTGATGCTTTCATTTTGTCCTGAGCTCCCTCATCATACCCTAAATCCAGATCTTCTTAATCAAGCTTCATCAAGTTCTGCATGTGATGTTATATGCTGCCCCACCAAACTGAGTTTAACAGTGCTGCCCAAAACCTTAGAAGCATTATCTAACTGCTAACTTCTATTCATTCTCGTCAAGCCTTATTGTGTGATGCTATGCCCTTTACGGACATACACACTATGTCATTCAATCTAAAATTCTACTAAATGTAAGTTCCATCATTTCTTGTACCACTAAGAAATATAAAACCTTGCCAATTAAACTATGACAATACTTTTTTTAACCACTTATACTTTTTATTTTAAAAATTTTAAAGGGGCCCTTTTAGACCAGGGATTTGCAAACTATAGCTCATGGTCCAAATCCAACCACCTGTTCTTGTAAATAATGTTTAATTGAGAGGTAGCCAAGCTCACTGGTTTCCCTTTTGGCTGCTTTTGCACTACAATGGGAGAGGCGAATAGCTGGGACAAAGATAGGATGGCCTTCAGAGGCAGAACTATTTATCTGGCCAACCCCTGCTCTTGCTTCATTTAGACACTTTTTTTAAAAAAAATCACACTGTCCAGGCACAATGACTCACACCTGTAATCCCAGCACTTTGGGTGGCCAAGGCAGGCAGACTGCCTGAGCTCAGGAGTTCAAAACCAGTCTGGGCAAGATGGCAAAAACCTGTCTTTGCTAAAAATACAAAATATTAGCTGGGTATGGTGGCAGTGCCTGTAGTCCCAGCTACTCGGGAGGAGAGGCAGGAGAATCACTTGAACCCAGGAGGCGGAGGTTGCAGTGAGCCGAGATTACACCCTGCACTCCAGCCTGGGTGACAGAGCAAGACTCTGTCTCAAAAATAATAAATAAAAATTAAAAATCGTACTTATTTTATTTACACACAAGATTGTTATGAATGAAATAAACTGGTCATTTCTTTACAATGAATATGCAAGAAAACATGGATTTGTGGTCATTTCTCTAAAAACAAATATGGGCTCCACTAAAGTCAAATTTTGGCTCTGCTGATTTGTTTTCTGTACCCTTTTCACTGCCAAATCATCATGTCATCTTTTTGAAAATATTTTAAATAGGATCAGCAGTAAAGACTGGGCTTCTCATTTGGGATCACTGCTAGGGCTGAAGTCCTCTGACAGTTTTGTAGGTTAGAAAAAAACATTTTTTCCTATACCTTTCGTAGTTTTTAGGTGCCCTCCCCCACCATAATGGATAACAGACTAACGAGAGAAAAGCTGACATTTATTAACATGTGTACATACCCAGACCCAGAAGATACCCAGGGAAAAATAAGTGACTCTCACAGAGGTGGCTTAGAACTCAGGCTTTAACACCTGTGACCTTCACCTCAAAGGAAATTGAGGGAGGCAAGTTATGGAGAGGTGACTAGGAAAAGCACAGTAAACACGGGTAAGGTTTATCACGCAAATTTAAAAATCAGTCCCTTCTCTATTGATGAGCATCTTTATTGATTTAATGGACAGTTCAGTGGCATTAAGTATATTCATGTTGTTGGCTACCATCACCACCATCCATCTCCAGAACTTTTCATCTTTCCAAACTGAAACTTTGTACCCATTGAATAATAACTCCCCATTCCCCTTCTCCTCCCATCTTCTCGCAGCCACCATTCTGTCTCTATAGATTTGTTTATTCTGGACATTTCATATAAATGGAACCATATAATGTGTGATCTTTAATGTCTGGCTTATTGCACGTAACAATGTTTTCAAGGTTCATCCATGTGGCATGTGTGAGAATTCTTTTTCAGGATGGATCATATTCTATCGAATGTATGTGCACCACATTCTGTTTATCCATTTGTCCATTTGGGTTGCTTCCACCTTTTGGCTATTGTGAATAATGCTGCTATAAATACATTAGGTTTTCAAAGCAAGTTAGGTTTTTAAGGCAAAGTAATGGCTGAGGGTTACATTCTGCTAACAGATCATCTTTTATAAACAGGCTCAAGCCCCAGGAAGACAGTGTTCCACTGGCTTCTTCTTGGAGGCCAATTCTTCTTCTTGGAGGCCAACTCATGTTTTTTGTTCATTTTCTCCTTAGATAATATTTTTTCTTCTTATTGATTTATAGAAATTTTTTTACATATCTTAAATACTTATCCTTATTCAATTATTTGCAGTATACATATCATCTCTCATCTGTGGCTTGTCTTTTAATCATATTATGGTTTTGTCATAAAGAAGTTTAAATTTTGATATAGTCAAATGTATTATTCTTTTCCTCTATAATTTCTATATTTTTTTCATGTTTAAGCGATCTTTCTTGACCTTAAGGTTAAAAATATGTTCCTATGTTTTCTTTGTCCAAGTTTATATATTTATATTAATATTTTTAATCTATCTAGAATTTATTTTTGTGAATGATGTCAGGTGAACATTTAATGTCTTTCCTCATGCAGAAATGCAGTTATTCCAACATTATTATGAAAGAGACCAGAGTTTTCCTCTTGACTTTTTGGTTTCTCTCATACATGAAAGCCCTGCATATGCTTGCATCTATTTGGATACTACCCCTACTCAAGTCTATAGATTCATTTTATCTTTATTTTTGGAACTATTACACTCTAATTACTGTAACTTTACAAATGTTCTTGATATTCTTTTAGGGAAATTCTTTTCTCTTTATTCATCCTTTTCAGAATTTTCTTGTCTGTTCTTCAAGGTATACTCTTCCATGTGAATTGAACATTTGTCAGCTTGGCAATTTCCAGTGAAAAGCCTGTTAGATTTTTTACTAAAATAACAATAAATTTATAGATTTATATTGAAATAATCTACGAATATTTTATATATGTGTGTATACATATATGTGTGTGTACATATATATTTTTTTATATATGTGTATGTACATATATATATATATATATATAGAGAGAGAGAGAGAGAGAGAGAGAGAGAGGTATTTTTTATGTCCTTCAATAATTGCTTTATAACATTTCCATAAAATTTGAATTTATACCCTTTATTTCTTTCTCTTGCATGATTGCCCTGGCTAGAACTTCCAGTACTATACTGAATATGAGCACACCAATAATAGACAGAGAGCCAAGTCAAAAGTGAACTCCCATTCATAATTACTGCAAAGAGAATAAAATGCCTAGGAATACAACTAAAAAGGTTGTAAAGAATCTCTTCAAGGAGAACTACTCACCACTGCTCAATAAAATAAGAGAGGACATAAACAGACGGAAAAACATTCCATGCTCATGGTTGGGAAGAATCAACATCGTGAAAATGGCCCTACTGCCCAAAGTAATCTATATATTTAATGCTATCTCCATCAAGCCAGCAATGACCTTCTTCACAGAACTGGAAAAAAACCACTTCAAACTTCATATGGAACCGAAAGAGAGTCTGCATAGCCAAAACAATCCTAAGCAAAAAGAACAAAGCTGGAGGCATCACGCTGCCTGACTTAAAACTATATCACAAGGCCACAGTAATCAAAACAGCATGGTAGTGGTACCAAAACAGAGACATAGACCAATGAAACACAACAGAGGCCTCAGAAGCAATGCCACACATCTACAACCATCTGATCTTTGACAAACCTTACAAAAACAAGCCATCGGGAAAGGATTCCCTGTTTAATAAATGGTGTTGGGAAAACTGGCTAGCCATGTGCAGAAAGCAGAAACTGGACCCCTTCCTGATACCTTACACTAAAATTAATTCCAGATTGATTAAAGATCTAAACATAAGACCTAACACCATAAAAACCTTGGAAAAAAACCTAGGCAAAACCATTCAGGACATAGGCAAGGACTTCATGACTAAAATACCAAAAGCATTGGCAACAAAAGCCAAAATAGACAAATGGGATCTAATTAAACTCCAGAGCTTCTGTGCAGCAAAGGAAACAATTATTAGAGTAAACTGGCAACCAACGCAATGGGAAAAAGTTTTTGCAATCTACCCATCTGACAAAGGGCTAATATCCAGAATCTCCAAAGAACTGAAACAGATTTATAAGAAACAAACAAACCCATTCAAAAGTGGGCAAAGGATATGAACTGACACTTTGAAAAAGAAGACATATGTGAGGCCAAGAAACATGAAAAAATGCTCATCATCACTGGTCATTAGAGAAATGGAAATCAAGGCTACATTGAGATACTGTCTCACACCAGTTAGAATGGCAATCATTAAAAATCTGGACACAACAGATGCTGGAGAGGATGTGGAAAAATAGGAACACTTTTACACTGTTGGTGGGAGTGTAAATTAGTTCAACCTGTGTGGAGGATAGTGTGGCCATTCCTCAAGGACCTAGAAATAGAAATACCATTTTGACCCAGCAATTCCATTACTGGGTATATACACAAATAATTATAAATTGTTCTGCTATAAAGACACATGCACATGTATGTTCATTGTGGCACTGTTTGCAATAGCAAAGACCTGGAACCAACCCAAATGTCCATCATCAATAGACTGGATAAAGAAAATGTGGCACATACACACCATGGAATACTACACAGACATAAAAAGTGTTGAGTTCATGTCCTTCATAGGGACATGGGTGAATCTGGAAACCATCATTCTCAGCAAACTGACACAAGAACAGAAAACCAAACACCGTATGTTATCACTCATAGCTGGGTGTTGAACAATTAGAACATGTGGACACAGGGAGGGGAGCATCACTCACTGTGGTCAGTAAGCGGGCACTAGAGGAGGGACATCAGGGGTGGGGAGAGTGGGGAGGGATAATGAGGGGAGAAATACCAGATATAGGTGATGGGGGGATGAAGGCAGCAAACCACCTTGCCGTATAGGAATGTTATTAGTTCTTATATGCTCATTTCAGTATTAATTTTTCAAACTTTTCCCCAGTCTCTGGAGCCTAAGCATTTAAGGTCAACTTACCTGTCCTCAAAAGAGTCAACGATGTTATCTTTGACTACATTTTGTGATCTCTACAGTACATATGGAAGGGTCAAAGTTTCTAATATGACAATCCGGGTAAAGTCTAAACAGCATTTATGGCAAGCTGTCTTCACTAAAATCAGCTCATTGCAGCAATGGCTTGGACTAGATCCACTTGCATTCTCTCTTTTACCTTGTTTTTTGCCCACATAGCAGCTGTATCGGTAAGTAGAATCCTGTTTTTTTTTTTTATATTTAAAAATATTAATTCTAGTATATATTACCCATTTTCTGTATATTTATTTTTTGCAGATTAAGTATCTTCCTAAAGAAAATGGTAAGAATTAGTTCAAATGCACAGAGAGTGTTTCTGAACTTTTTTCATTTAGCAAGGCTAATAATAATTTTTTTCTCACTTTTAACAGTACATGATGCAGATTTTGGTGAACAGAAGGATATTTCAGAAATCAATTTAGGTGAGTTCAATTTTTGCATTATTAAAGTCTTGAAATTACTTAAAACCCAATGATGGGATTACTGAAAATCTCTTTTCTTCATCATACTGTATTGTGATTCTTTTGGGGAGAAATATTTACTGGTGCTTTGTGAGAAATTGCATTTTCTGAAAGATAAAAATGTGGAAAGAGAAGATAGTTAGACCAGACTTTCTAGGAGAGCTAGGGAGTTCTCAATGGATCTAGAAACACATAACATGTTTCTCTTTTAAAAAGTTTATTTTTCAAATTTGTATTTGGAAAAAAAGGAGAAAGCAAATAAATATTCTGATGGTTAAAGAAAAATACAAGAATAAGCCTCTGGTTATATTTAGGGGGGAAACAAAACCCAACCCCTCCACTGACCCATCATATTCACTAACAACTCTTTGGTTGAGACTTAGAGGTAAGTGTAAAGAAATCTCCACTTAGGTATCTTGTTCATAAACATATTTCTTGAAGAAATTCATCAGTCTCACTCATTATTGAGAGGAGAAAGAAGCTGAGTCATCATCTATCTTTTCTCTCTGTTGTCCTGCTTCTGGAATGAGAGAGAAGCCTCTGAATTCCTGGTGTCTTTGGTCAGGATTTGTGGAAGCAGAGGGATTCATGATCACATTTACCTTCAGTTTACAAAAAGCCTTTATATCCAATTGCATATTGATTTGTCCAGTCTTGTGGAGTAAGTGCTATTTTCATTTTTTGGGAAGAGACAGGTGGCTTCTCATGATTACAGTGACTTGCTCAAGATCCTAGGTAGCAGTGATGGGACTCCCTTCCAGATCTTGCAGCCCATACCTTAATAGCTCAGTGCCACCTGAAGAAGACTACAAAACTAAAACACTCATGCCTAATGGTTAATGTTTCTGGCTTTGTCTCACTCACAGAGAAGCCAGTTAGTTGATATTTAATTGGAATAGCTGGAGAAGGGCTGCATAGGCAGAGTAGAAATAGTTTAGGAAGGTAAATGGGTGAATGCAGAAATGGGTCCCAAGACTTCAGAGCAAGGCACTAAAATATCTCTCTTTAGAGTCAGCCATTGTGTAAACAGTTCAGAGAATCTGCTGTATTTTACAACAGGGCTGGGATTAGAATTAGGGTTTTTCTAATATCATCCTTATTTATCTAATAAAAATTCATTCTCTACTTCTTTGCCATTTTGTATTCTTTAGGTCCACCACCACCTCTGAACCTTCACCCCAGTGAAGAAATCTCATTACGATGTATATTTTCTTTTTAAGCCATTTCAACCAAGCCACCAGATTGATTGGGTTAGCCATATGGCCAGATTCTAACACCATAAATTGATTGGGAAAATCATACGGAGAAAATTACCACCTTTTCACCATCTTCTTTGAGCCTCACAAGGTTGACTTAACACTTCTTTTCCTCTGCCCCAAGACCTGCTAAATGCAGCTAACTCCTTCTAGATTTTACGCAGCTAACTCCTTCTAGATTTTACGCTCAGAATCTTAAAGTTGCCCCTGACTCTTGTCACACACCTTATGCACAATCTGTCAGAAAATGCTATTAGATCGGAATTACTTTTTTTTTTCTCAGATGGAGTCTTGCTCTGTTACCCAGGCTAGAGTGCAGTGGCACTATCTTAGCTCACTGCAATCTCCGCCTCCCAGGTTCAAGCGATTCTCCTGCCTCAGCCTTCCTAATAGCAGCTATTACAGGTGCCCACTACCATGCCAGGCTAATTTTCGCATTTTTGGTAGAGATGGGGTTTCTCCATGTTAGTTAGGCTGGTCTTGAACTCATGACCTTGTGGTCTGCCCACCTCGGCCTCCCAGAGTGCTGGTATTACCTGTGTGAGCCAGCCTACCCTACCTGGATCTACTTTTAAATCATATCGCAGTTGAGAATTTTCAGCACTTTTACTGCCTCCACCTTGGTCAGCCACCTCATGTCTGTCTTGGTCCTTTGAGGGGCCTTATAACTGTGCTTCCTTTTCTGCCTTTGCACCCTACAGACTATTCTGCACAGCATAGAGCTCTCCTTTTAGTATCCTTCAGATTATGTCATTTCTTTGCTCCAACCTTCTAATGACTTCTCCTCCAACACAAAGTAAAGGCCCCAGAGCCTTGATTCCCAAAGTGTGGTCCACAAGCCAAAGGGACCTGTGTCACTCAAGAACATTCTCTTAGAAATGTATCGTTTGGGGATCGACCCCAGACCTACCAAATTAGCATCTCCATTTTGACAGACCCCTAGTGGTTTCTACGCACATTAGAGCGTGAGTCAATCTGCCCTGGCTGCCTCTCCGACCTAATTTGTGACTACTCTTCCCCATCCTGCTTGAGCTCTCCAGCCACCCTGACTGCACAGCTACTCATCTACAAAAGTGGTTTTCAATGGTTGTCCCCCAGCCAGCAGCATTGGCATCATCAGAAAACTTGTTAGGAATGAACATTCTAAAGGCTCTGCCCCAGACTTAATGAACCAGAAGTTCAAGGGTAGGGGCTCATCAAGCTGTGTTGATCAAGCCCTCCAGGGGACTCTGATGTGAAAGTTCAGCACCACTGCCCTACGACATCAAGGCTTTCCTGCCACAGGACCTATCTCCTGTTGCCTCTACCTCCACTCTCTTCTTTCATTCCCTCACTTCAACACATTTCTGCTAAAATGCCACCTCCTTTGGGAGGCCTTCTCTGGCCACTCTTTAATAAAACAGCAAACCTATCTCACCTCAGCACTCTTTCCCACCTTAACTTTTGTATGTTTCTTTTTTACTGTACTTTTCGCCATTTGTCATACTTTACAGTTATTTGTTTATTTGTATGTCTCCCTCTTCCCCCAATCAAGAGTGCCATCTCCTCTTAAGGACTTTGTTTTATTCTCCGCTATATCCCCAGCATCTAGAAAAATGCTTAAGACACATTAGGCATTTAATAAGTGTGCACCATATGAACACATTGGGTAATGAATATATTGAGGCTTGCTTTCACTGGAAGTACATTTCTTTGGGAAGTTCTCCCTGTCCCCAGTGACCCCATCCATTCTGACTGACCACTGGGGCCAAAGTCTGAGTGGGCTTGTTCACTTCACTCTGGAAGAGCTCCCTCAATCTCATTATAATCCAGGCCAGGTGTCAGGAAATACAGATTTTTGCTCAGGACAAACCTCAATAAAAGAATAGATGAACCAGCACAGTCCCTCTATTTCAAAGATGATTCAAATCTGGGTCCTACTGACAGGGAGGCAGTGATGTCAGTACTGTTTGTGGTTGTTTAATTGTACTGCTACCACAGGAATAGGTCAGGGTTAAGGAGGTCAAGCACTCTAGGAAATGTGTGCATGAGGAAGGGAGTGATATGGGGATAGCCCTAGTTAGTCATTAGCAAGTGAAATCATGATGCCTGCTAATACCTAACATGTCCTGGGTGTCCTATGCAGAAATGGAGCTGGTTCCTGAAGGAGCCACAGGCTTTGCCAAATGGGGCCTCTGTTGGCTTGTGAGACTGTGGTGATTTAATCTCTGCCTTGATTTCCAGCTTGTAAATCAGGGCTAGCCTCAGAATGAAGTACAATCCAGTGATTCTGTCTTAAGTTGCTGCATTTTACAGAAAACGTTGCTTGTCAACGTGAGAGTTATGACAAGTGATGATCTTTTAATGCTTGAGAAATTTTCTCACAAAGGTCTTCCCTTTTAAGAATCTTGCTTACTGAAACAGAATGAGACCAGTATTAAGCAATACCAGCAGTGGGAGAGTATATTCTACTAAGCACCTGTGAACAGATGTTTGGATCTTTCCACATCCAAACATCTGTTTTCCACATCCTTTCGTAGGATGTGGGAGGCACCTTGAGCTTGGTTTTGGAGGGTATCATCATTTTTTTCATGGGAAAGAACAAAACACACTGATTTACCTTGGGACAAGAGGCAGAATGGTACAGTGGCAGAAAGAGCCCTGAATGGGAAGGCAGGAGTTTTGATGCTTAGTTTGCCACTGGATTACATAGCACATCACTTCACGTCTCTGGACTCTTTTTTTTTCTCCATTTCTCTCATTTTTTTTTCTTTTTTTTCCCTCAGATGGAGTCTGGCTCTGTCACCCAGGCTAGAGTGCAATGATGTGATCTCAGCTCACTGTAACCTCTTCCTCCTGGGTTCAAGCAATTCTCCTGCCTCAGCCTTTTGAGTAGCTGGGACTATGGGCACACGCCACCACATTTAGCTAATTTTTGTGCTTTAAGTGGAGACGTGGTTTCACCACATTGGCTAGGCTGGTTTCAAACTCTTGACCTCCCTGTAGCAACTCTTTTGGGGTCATCTCCTTCTTTTAAGACTAATTTGTTTGGGCAGAGTAAGTTTAGCTCTGTGGTCCTAGTGGTGGCTGCTTTGAGAGAGGACCGTGGACTTTCCGTTTGGCTGAGGAAAGCTGCTAGCATTGCCTTAGTTTAAATCGGGGCCTGAGGATGGCCCCTTATGATGTTTCCTGTTTGATTACCTATGGGGTTGCTGTTTTTATTAAATTTAGATAGCATTGATTTGCCTAATGCTTCCCCTTTCTACATAGGGCACATATAAAAGGAAATTCTTTCCTTGATTAACCTTGGTGTCTATTCTTTGGGCAGTCTCTTTTCATATAACTGGCTTTCCCCATAGAAGACAATTAGAGTTCCTCTCCCTTTTCATTCTAGGAGGACTTAATTCCATAGCCAATATTTTGGCTTTCTATGTCTCTGTTTCTACTAGTTGACACCCTTTTATAAGTTCCTCGATTGTGGCGGCCTTTCCTCTGACTGCCTACATTGCTTGCTGGCAATCTACATTAGTGTTTTTATAAGCCAATTGCAACAATAAAATATCCGCAACCTGGTCATGACTAATTTGCTTTTTAATTGCCTGAGTTAACTAATCAATAAATTCAACAAATGATTCCTGAGGCCCCTGATGAACATTTACAAAAGAGCTGAGGTCCACTTTGGGGAATTCAGTTCATGATGATACTTGATTATAGGCCTAGGGATCAAAATCTAGTTGTTGTGATACCTCGGCATGGGGCCGCTTCCCCTGGAGCATAGCAGCTGTTATATCTTGCCCTGCTGCCTGATTCCTTTTGGCTTGTTGTTTACACAACTGGTATTTTGCTCTTCAGAGGAGGCACTGGCTGGGCTTCAAAGTGGTTTTAGCTAGCATTGACCAATCCCATGGGGTTATTTGGAAGTTGTCTGCTAAAACCTCAATCATTCCTTTCGTAAATGGGCTAGCAGCTCCCTTTATACTTCTGTTTAGCTCTTTATAAGCGCTAAAAGAAATGGGTTCATGTATTTGATTGCCTTGCTGATTTTTAATTACCAGGCAGGCTAAAAGTTAACCCTCCAAAGCTGCTTGTTTAAGACAAGAACGTATAGCTGTAGTATCTCCTTTGTCTTTTTTCCTATTCATTGGTTGTCTTCATGCATAATTTCTTCCCACTTGTTCCCCAAGCTTTACATCTAGTGAGCCCTCTGCTCGGAACCATGGGCTTTAGGATACAACAGTTTGCATTAATTCCTTCAACTGGGTCTGGTACTGCTTCTGTTGTGCTGATAACTGCTGTCCCATGATTAATCCCTAGTCTGAAACAATCCCTCCCTGAACTTGGCAATACCAATGGGTACCAATGACTTACTGATTACTTGACTTGACTGCGTGGTTTCCTTCCTTCTGGTTTTCTAGGGGTCCACTGCTTTCCTTTTTTGCAGCAGTGATCATATAGGTTTGCTGCATGTTTGGGCACCTGCTATGACATTGTCTTGGTCAAATCTCCTCACAGTGGGGCACTGGCTGTGGTGTCAGTCACATCGGTGTCTCTGTTCGGGCATCAGCTGTGATGAGCGTTATGCTGGGATTACTACTTGAGACCTTGATGACTACATGCAGAGATTTGTTTTATAGACCCTGACTTAGGAACGGATGAATGAAATACACTCTCACACCCAGTACAGTGATGTGAGTGGGCTTGGGATGGTTGTCAACTGTTTTTAGAGGGTGATTATAGCTAACCGACCATGACTCTTTGTTCCTCCTTGCATTTATTTAGTATAGGTTTAATAATAGAAGTTCTAAGTCAACATGCTTGTGGATAATTAACACAGTTAAAAGAGTGGTTTTACTAATGATAAAAGGTCTTGGTTCCAGGGCCTGGAATAAACACAATTGATGGGGAATTTCCCTTTGAACTCCCCCTGAGGGGACCATCCAGCACAAAGTTTACATGAGTAAACAGAGACAAAGGAATGTGGGGTAAACAGACTTAACTGTAGAAGCTTCCATTATTCTAACCTTTACCCTATGACTTAAAGTTCTAATGTAAGAACTGGATTTGTTTAGTCTGTTCCATTAAAACCTTTTGGCCTTCCGAAAGGTTTGAGACTATAATCTTATAACTTTTTCCAAAATTTCCCTTGTATTTTGCCAGCCAACCCAATTGAATCCCGACACTGACCTCAGGTGATCCACCTGTCTCAGCCTCCCAAAGTGCTGGGATTACAGGTGTGAGCCACCACACCCAACCATTCTCCATTCTCTCAATATTTTTCATCCTCCTTATCAGCGCTGCCTCTAATCCCTTCTTTATAGTCAGTGATCAGTAAAATCCCTTCTAACTTATTTCTTACTTCTAAGATTCTTAGACAAGATTTCTTGTTCCAAAATTAAAAACAGAGTCTATGACAAGATGTGATACTCATCAGTCATTCACATTTGCTCAATTGGAATTTTTGCATTGTTTCAAAAAGAGTTTTGCCACATTTAATATTCAAAGACTTATAATGGCAAAGATTTTATTATAAAAGATGCCTTTTAATAATGTTCACTCAAATATTCTTTTTTAAAAAAAATTTTCACTTCCAGCTGCAGGCTTGGACCTCTTTCAAGGGGACATCCTCTTGCGGGTGAGTACCTTTTAATGATGCAATAAATTCCTCAGGACAGACAGTACCACTGGGTGTGAGCCTCTGCTCTGTGGCCAGCCCTGGGATGGGCACTGTGGAGGAGATAAGAGAAATCTCATCTATAACTTGTTCCAGTGAGGAGTTCCACTATGGTTGGTAAGGACAAAAACAGAAGGAAAATAAGCAAACAGCACAAAAGAGTCTAAAATAATTAAATGAGTTATCTATCAAATTTTCTTCATTCTAATAAATGAAGAATGAGAGGAAAGATAATGCACCAACACATCTGTAGCAGCTATCTCAGTTTTTTGAGATTGCAGGCCCCCTTTATTTTGTTCTTAATAATTTCTCTGATTTTTCCAAATTATCTCTCAAGAACTTCTATTGCTTTCATTATCAGAAGACAAATTGCCACTAAACTGTTTGAATTGCATGATAGACTATTTGCTGTGTGAGAGTTTAGTGAAGGAGGGGGTCAAGGTGACCTTGAGGACTGGGCTTCCCACTCATTTTTACCTTTGTTTTCACAGAACTCCAGAAATGGCCTGAGAGACCCAAACAGCAGGTGGACATTCCCCATTCCTTACATTTTGGCTGATAATTTGGGTAATATTAATTGTTCTTAATTAGGGGGTTTCAGTTTAACTCTCTCTCCTCTCTCAACCTATTCATGGGTTTCGCATTGGGAGTAAGCACAATGAAAACCTGAGGGTTTTCAAGTCCTGATGAATCTTTATCTCATGGGGAGAAAGATACGACATTACATCAAAACCAGTGCTGCTTAACCAGTCTGAGATATACACTATCCAAAAATAACTTTTAAAATGCAACCAGGAACAATATAAAAGAGCAAAAACCCAATGAAACATACTTTGCATCAGAGCAACAAAGTTTGTACTTTGTTTAGGTAAATCTAAATGTAGTGTGAGTATACTATTTTTAGCGTATTGATTTCTTCTCTTTTTGTTACAAGAGAAACATGCCACAATGAGAAATGAAAAAGTCCATATTTCACATGTTCACAATCCTTTTTTCTTGGTGTTAGTAATGTCTACTCTTTTCTCTCTCTTAAGAAAAAGACCTGAATATGTTACATTTTACTCATCATTAGAAATAATAACTGGTGGAATCACTTCACCTTTTAGCTAAGATTGGGTATAGAATTAACAACTGGTAGACATAAATAAATATTAGAAGCCACATGTAGTCCCTGGCTGTTCCTCAAGCAGTTGATGGACAGCTGAGCAGCCATGGTGACTCAATGTCTACAAGGCCACTCCTGCTTAGACAGATGGACAAGATTAGAGTGAAGAGGCGAAGCCAGGACAAGGTTGCCTAATCTTGTTGGGCTGCTAGGCAGCCCCTCCTCTTAGGAGATGTAGATTATGTTTCAGCATTTTCCATCCTCCTTATCAGTGCTGCCTTGTATCCCTCTTTTTGGAGAACAGCTAGATATAAACAAATGCTGTTGTTCTTAGTTATTAGCTGGAAAATTGAGTTATTTTATCCAGTGTTTGCCTTGCAAATTCATGGAACACCAATACCTAATGGAACATGGTTTAAGAAATATCAGCTTTTTAAAAGGGGTTCTTTCCTATTACAATTTTTTCTTATCCTGGTTGTCACATCTGCACTACCCTATTATGTGCCAGGCACTGTGCCTTCATCTGATATTTTAAGTATCCTTCACTATGTCTCTTGGAGGTGTAAGGCAGTGCTTCTTAGACTTTAATGTTCATAGGACTCATAGGAGGATCTTGTTAACCTACAGAGTAGGTCAGGTTTGGTGCATGAAATGTTGCATATCCAGTGGTCCCCAGTGATGCTGATGCTGTTGGTCCCCACACAGACCACAGCTTAAGTAGTAAGGTCTCTATAGTTGCAAGGCAGGTAAGAAATTATAATTGAGAGTAATTTGAGACAAGTGATCTGACATAAGATAAAGGTAGTAAGGATACAGCAGTATCTCTCAAGCAACACCACATGAAGGTCATCTTTAGTGTTAAAGTTCAGATGCCCAGACTCAGACCATTGTGAAAGCAAACTTTCCAACTAGAGTTCAATATTTGTATAGAATTTTTTTTACTCAAGTTAAATTTACATGGAGTGAAATGCACAAATAAATATATAAGGCTTTTGACAAACACATATACCTATATAATTCACACTTCCATCATTCCATAAAGTTCCTTTCTAGGCAGTTCCCATCTCCACTCCCTAAGAGGCAACCATCATTCTATTTCTTCCCCATAGTTCTGCCTGATTTACAACAGTTATATGATCTCATATACCACAGTATTTCTTTTATAAATACTAGGTGTCTGGCTTCCTTGACTTATGTTTTTTAAGTTCTTCTGTATTGTTGTGGATCAACAGTTAATTCCTTTTTTAACCATTCAGTAATATTTCTTTATATTAATATACTGCAAATTACTGTCCATTTTCCTGTTAGGGCTAGTAAGAAGAAAATCATTACAATCATTCCTTTACAAGTTTATGTGAATACATTTCTTATTTATCTTTGGTAAATGCCTAGGAACATAATTGCTTAATCATATGAATAACTATGTAAGAAAACACCAAACAGATTTCCAAAGTGGCTGTGCCATTGTACATTCCTCCTGAAAATATATGAGCATTTCATTTGCTCCACATCCTCACACTGAAAGCATTAATCTTATTAATTATAGCCATTTTAGCAGTTATAAAATGGTATCTCCCTATGATTTTAATTTGCATTTCTGTAATGATTAGTAATATTTAGCACATTTTAGAATGTTATGGGCTATTTCTTTGTCTTATTTTATGGAGGTGTGTCCAACTCCTTCGCAATTTGTAAAAATTATATTGTTTGTCTTTTTATTATTTTAAGATTTTATATACTATGGATAAAGCCCTTTGTCAGATATATGTATTATACATATTTTCTGTTAGTCTGTTACTTAGTTATTTGTTTTTGTTTTTCAAGCAGTGAATTTTGAAACACGAAAGCTTTAAATGCCAATAAAGTGTGATTTATCAATTTTTTAACTTATGGTTTGTGTTTTTATATTCTAAGAAATCTATACTTAAACCAAGTCACAAAGATATTTTTCCAATATTTTTTGAAGTTGTATGGTTTCAATTTTTGTCTATAATTGCTTGCAAACTAATTTTGTGTACAACAGGATGAAGAGATTGAGATTGATTGATTGGAATTTATTAGCCCAGTTGTTCTAGCATCATTTGCTATAAAACTTTGCTTTCCTTGTTGAGTACTCTTTGCAAGACTCTTGTTTGCCAAGTTTGCCAAGACTCTTTGTTTCTTGATCTGATATCTCTATTTTCTTATCTTATTCTACTTATCTACCATCATGTCAAAATCATTATGTTCGTTGTTCTAGCTTTATAGTTAACCTTGAAGTGACTGCTCCAGCTTTGCTCTCCAATTTCAAGACAGTTTAGCCTACTCCAGATCTTTTGCATTTTTGTGTATATTTTATAAGCAATTTCTCTAAAAAGCCTGCTGGAATTTTAATAGAAATGTGTTGTTTCTGTGTATAAATTTGTAGAAAACTATGATCTTAAAAATATTGAGTCCTATAATTCATAAACATGGTACATCATGGTACATTTTTTGTCTTATTGTAATTCTTGTTCCTAACAGAAAAGAAAAGAAGAGACAGAGAGAGAAGGAAGGAAGAAAGGAAGGAAGGAAAAGAAAGGAAGGAAGGAAGGAAGGAAGGAAGGAAGGAAGGAAGGAAGGAAGGAAGGAAAGAGAGAGAAAATGAATTAAGTAATCAATTAATTTAATTAAATGAGGAGGGGCACTCAGGGTTGCCTTCATGGAGAAGAGGAAGACTTTAAATGGACTGTATTTCCATTTATTCCAATGATGTTAAGGCAGTTTTTACAAAATTATTACATAGGTTCTTAGTTCCCTCTTTGCAACTTACTCAGGTGTGGAGAAGGAAGATAAGGTATGATTTAAAAATTAACCACTCTCAGAAATCCCACCATTTGGATTGAAGATAACAAAAGCCACATAGCCTTCTAGGAAGCTTGACTTCAGTATAATCACCTTTTTTTCCTTACATTTTTGTGACACCACAGCTATCTTGGGTACAGCTCTTCATAGTACAGATGTAACTAAGTAAGAATAGGTAAAAGTGCCTGAAAATCTCCCAGAAGATGTAATGAATACTCTTGTTATTGTTATCTGTGTCATTTCCACAACTAGTTTATTGACTATTCCAGTGACTGTTTCTTTAATGATCTTGATATGATATTATGACACCTAGGCTGTGGAATCTCCAATTTGGTAGTTTATTAAATGAAATAAAGGCCAGAAAAATATGATGTAATTTTCTGGCCAATCATTATAAACTCCTTGAGAGAAAGCGCTAAATTCAAATGTGCAAGAAATTAATTTAATTTTATATAATGTGTCTTAATTTTTAACTTAGATTCTAACCTTTAATCAGTTGATCGGAGGGAAAAATGCACACAAAATAAAACATAATCTCATTTTCTCTGGAGTATCTTTCTTCTCTACTCCTTCTTTGTCTTAAGGAGCCAAAAGTGCATGCACGTTAGGTGAAAGGAAAGGCATTTGATCTTTGGTCATTGGTCTCCACAGGTTACTAATCAGCATCTATTTTTCCTGCCCCTTCAAGTCCACTGCTGCTTGGGTACTGAGCTTGGGTTACAGAAATCTTTTCTGAGGCTTTGTGCAGTATAAGCTGTCTAGTCTTGCCATCTCTCAAGCATCTTTCTGGGAAGCAGAGTAAAATACCACATGTGCTTTTACACTTTCAGAACCCAGAAATCTCTCTAAGCTCTGCTTTTCTCCTCCAGAAAGACAGAATATTTTTTAGATAGGGATAAGGAACACTATTCTCACTGCCTCACTCTAAAGTACTTTATCTATGTCAACTAAAGCCAGAGCTCCTCACAAACCACTTCTGTTTTCTGCTCTGCCATGTGACTCTTTGAGGCAATGCACTCCAAATCTCTGCTTCAGTGGGAGAAAGAGAAAGGGTAAAAGGGTGGAAGTTATTTTATTATCTTATTTAGCCATATACACGTGTATTATCTTATTTTGTAGACATATTTGCATTGGGCGTTTAAGGTATGCACTTAATGTTCACAACTAATTGTACAGATGTCCATGACCAATTTTGCAGTTTTAGTTACTAGGAAATCTATTTATTACCAAAAAATCTATAATGCACCTCTGTGGATTTCATGTGGTAGCCTGGTTTTCTCTAAACTGTAAGTTATAGATATTATCCAAGGTCTAAATAATGTTCATTGATATTTTTGCTGATTTCCGCAGGGCTGAATGCTAAAGGAGCCATTCTGTATGCCTTTGAAATGTTCCGCCTTAAGTCCTGTGTGGATTTCAAGCCCTATGAAGGAGAGAGCTCATATATCATATTTCAACAGTTTGATGGGTTAGTATGAAATTTTTACAGAGTGAAAATCATGAATACTTTGGTTTATAAAAAGTGGCACATCTCTTTCAAAGGTGAAAAGAAGAAATTGAAAAGAAACTAAAAGCAAAATCAAATCATTCACTGTGAAGCTTTAAATTACATAACATTTTTAACATACTCCTCACAGAATGAATTATTTGGATATGTCTGGGCTTCAGGGAAATCCATTTCAATACTATTTTTAGATTTAGGTCATGTTTTAAATTAGAGTACTTTTTTAAAAAGTCAGGTTTATTGAAGCATAAACTTTATCCTTTAAAGAGTACTGTTCTAAATTGTACTATTCTGCTGCTAGACGTCTTTGAAAAGTTCTAGATATCAATTTGTTCTTCATAGTGATTTATTTCTAAGAATAACTGAATGGTATATCAAGAAAGAAGCCATTTTTCTTTGATGGTGTTTATGTCAACCAATAGACTGGGAAGAAAAGCCACCATATGTGACACTATATGTTTGTGTCTTCAGCTCCACTTGCTGGTATTTCCTCACTTCCTCACACTGCAGTTTCCATCGCTGCCTCCAGACCTTGCCTGCAGTAGTTGTCTAGTTCTGACCATGTGTGCTTTATTTATTTTTGGTTGTATGAATATGTTCCTCAGTGGTGATTTCTGAGATTTTGATGCACCCATCACCAGAGAAGTATACACTGTACCCAAAGTGTACTCTTTTATCCCTTGCCTCACCTCATCCTTTCCGCTGAGTCACCAAAGTCCAATGTATTATTCCTTTGCCTTTGTGTCCTCATAGCTTAGCTCCCACATATGAGTGAGAACATACAATCTTTGTTTTTCCATTCCTGAGTTATTTCATTTAGAGTAATGGTCTCCAACTCCATCCAGGTTGCTGTGAATGCCATTATTTCCTTCCTTGTTATGGCTGAGTAGTATTACATGGTACATGCATGCGTGTGTGTGTGTGTGTGTGTGTGTGTGTGTGTGTGTATGAAGGAACGAAATAACTCAGGAATGGAAAAACAAACATTGTACCTTCTCACTCATATGTGGGAGCTAAGCTATGAGGACGCAAGGCAATTACACACACACACACACACACATTATATATAATATATTATATGTATACATAATATTTTCTTTATCCACTTGTTGATTGATTGGCATTTGGGCTGGTTCCATATTTTTTCAATTGCAAATTGTACTCCTATAAACATGTGTGTGCAAATATCTTTTTTGTATAATGACTTCTTTTCCTCTGGATAGATACCTGCTAGTGGAATTGCTGGATCAAACAGTAGATCTACTTTAAGTTCTTTAAGGAATCTCCACACTGTTTTCCATAGTCATTGTACTAGTTTTACATTCCCACCCACAGTGTAAAAGTGTTCCCTTTTTACTGCATCATACTAGCATATATGTATTTTTTATTTTTTAATTATGGCCATTCTTGCAGGAGTAGGGTGGTATCATATTGTAGTTTTGATTTGCATTTCCCTGATAATTAGAGATGTTGAATGTTTTTTCATATGTCTGTTTGCCATTTGTATATCTTCTTTTGAGAGTTGTCTATTCATGTTCTTAGCCCACTTTCTGATGGAATTGTTTGTTTTTTTCTTGTTAATTTGTTTGGGTGCTTTGTAGATTCTACATATTAGTCCTTTGTTGGATGTATACATTATGAAGATTTTCTTCCACCCCGTGGATTGTCTGTTAACTCTGCCAGTTATTTCTTTTGCTATGCAGAAGCTTGTTAGTTTAATGAAGTCCCATTTATTTATCTTAGTTTTCGTTGCATTTGCTTTGAGGTTCTCGGTCATGAAGCCTTTACCTACGTCAATGTCTAGATGGATTTTTCTGATTTTACCTTCTAGAATCTTTATGGGTTCAGGTATTAAATTTAAATCTTTGATCCATCTTGATTTGATTTCTGTATAGGGTAAGAGAGGAGGATCCAGTTTCATTCTTCTACATGTGGCTTGCCAATTTTCCCAGCACCATTTGTTGAATAGGATGTTGTTTCCCCACTTTATGTTTTTGTTTGCTTTGTTGAAGATCAGTTGGCTGTAGGTATTTGGGTTTATTTCTGGGTTCTCTATTCTTCTCTGTTGGTCTATGTGTCTATTTTTATACCAGTACTCTCCTATTTTGGTGACTATGGCCTTATAGTATATTTTGAAGTTGGGTAATGTGATGACTTCAGATTTGTGATTTTTGCTTAGTTTTGCTTTGGTCATGTGGGTTCTTTTCTGGTTCCACATGAATCTTAGGATTGTTTTTCTAGATCCGTGAAGAATGATGGTGGTATTTTCATGGGAATTGTATTAAATTTGTAGACTGCTTTTGGCAATTGTGGTCATATTCACAATATTGATTCTACCCATCCATGAGCATCGGATTGATATGTTTCCATTTGTTTGTGTCATCTATTATTTCTTTCAGCAGTGTTATGTAGTTTTCCTTGTAGAGGTCTTTTAGTCTTTGGTTAGGTATATTCCTAAGTTTTTTTTTTTTTTTTTTGGCAGCTCTTGTGAAAAGGGCTGAGTTCTTGATTTGATTCTCAACTTGGCACTGTTGGTGTTTAGCAGAGCTACCGATTTATGTACATCAATTTTGGATTCTGAAATTTTGCTGAATTTATTTACCAGTTCTAGGAGCTTTTTGGATGAGTGTTTAGGGTTTTTTAGGTATACAATCATATCATCAGTAAACAGTGACAGTTTGGCTTACTCTTTACTGATTTGGATGCCCTTTATTTCTTTATCTTGTCTAATAGTTCTGGCTAGGACTTCCAGTACTATGTTGAATAGCATTAGTGAGAGTGAACATCTTTGTCTTGTTCCAGTTCTCAGGGGAAATGCTTTCAACTTTTGTCATTCACTATAATGTTGACTGTGGGTTTGATAAATGGCTTTTATTACCTTAAAGTATATCCCTTCTGTGCCAGTTTTGCTGAGGGTTTTAATCATAAAGGGATGCTGGACTTTGTCAAATGCTTTTTCTGTATCTATTGAGATGATCATATGATTTTTGTTTTTAATTCTCTTTATGTGATATATCACATTTATTGACTTGTGTATGTAAAACCTTCCCCGCATCCCTGGATAAAACCTATTTGATCATGGTGAATTATCTTTTTGATATGCTGTTGGATTCAGTTCCCAGTATATTGTTGAGGATTTTTGCAAGTATGTTCATCAGGGATATTGGTCTGTACTTTTCTTTGTTTGTTATGTCCTTCCCTGGTTTTGGTATTAGGGTGATACTGGCTTCATAGAATTATTTAGGGAGAATTTCCTCTTTCTCTATCTTTTGGAATAGGGTCAATAGGATTGGTACCAATTCTTCTTTGAATGTCTTGTAGAATTCAGCTGTGAATCTATCTGGTCCTAGACATTTTTTGTTGGCAATTTTTAAATTGCCATTTCAATCTCACTACTTGCTATTGGTCTGTTCAGAGATTCTATATATTCCTGGTCTAATCTAGAAGGGTTGTATATTTCCAGGAATTTATCCATCTCTTCTGGGTTTTCTAGTTTATACACATAAAGGTGTTCAAAGTACTCTTGAATAATCTTTTGTATTTCTTTGGTAGCAGTTGTAACAGCTCCCATTTCATGTCTAATTGAGCTTATTGGGAACTTCTCTCTTCTTTTCTTGGTTAATCTTGCTAATGGTCTATCAATTTTATTTATCTTTTCAAAGAACCAGCTTTTTGTTTCATTTTTTTTTTGTTTCAATTTCATTTAGTTCTGCTCTGATTTCTGTTATTTCTTTTCTTCTGCTGGGTTTGGGTTTGGATTGTTCTTATTTCTCCAGTTCTGTGAGGTGTAACATTAGATTATGTATTTGTGCTCTTTCTGACTTTTTGGTATCATTTAATGCTATAAACTTTCCTCTTAGCCCTGCTTTTGCTGTATCCTAGAGGTTTTTATAGGTTCTATCACTATTCTCATTCAGTCCAAAATTTTTTTTAAATTTCCATCTTGATTTTATTGTTGACCTAATGATCATTCAGTAGCAGATTATTTAATTTCCATATATTTGCCTGATTTTGAGGGTTCCTTTTGGAGTAATTTCCAGTTCTATTCCACTGTGATCTGAAAGTGTACTTGATATAATTTTGATTTTCTTAAATTTACTAAGACTTGTTTTGTGGTCTATTGTATGGTCTAGCTTGGAGAATGTTCCATGTGCTGATGACTACAATATGTATACTGCAATTGTTGGGAAAAGCTGCAAAAGAGAAAGAACTTACAAAGTGCCTACATAAATTGGTTATAAGTAACATGTAAACAAGGAACAACGAACTGCAGAGGGCTGCAGGAGACCTCTAAGGAGGAAGGCCTTTTTATGCCTTATGTTTGCTCTGTTACCATAAACATTGTGCTCAAGGACTAAAACCCCTTCATAGCACTATAACATAGCCAAACTTGTAGGCTCCTTGTAAGGCCCATGTTCTATGAACTGTACATAGATAAGAAGGTAAAGACAATCACATGTTCTTGTTTTGTGAAACTCCCAGACTGCCATGTTATCAATCCCTAGAATGATATACCAGTTCCGGCTCACTAATTCAGTTCCAGCTCACTAATTCACTCCACCATCACCCTTTCCCCATCATTACTCCATCCTTACCCTGTAAATCAAAGTAATTGTAATCAATAAATAATGTGGATAATCAGAGCTGGGGGCCTTCTCTGTCACTTCCAAAGTAATAAAGTGATGGTCCCCTGGTTCCACTTTTTCTCTTAATCTGTCTTTCTCTCATTCCTTTATTGCCACTGAACTTGCGGTACCCATGGGTGATATAGGGTTGCCTCCCTACATTTTGGCACCCAGCATAAGGCCCATAAATTCCTACATTCTGGTACCCAATGTATGGGGCTCATAAATTCCCTACATCAAATGTTCTGTCAATATCTGCTAAATCCATCTGTTGAAAGGTATAGTTTAAGTCCATTGTTTCTTTGTTGACTTTCTGTCTTGATGACATGTCTTGTGCTGTCACTGCAGTATTAAAGTCCTCCACTGTTACTGTGTTGTCATCTATCTCATTTCTTAGGTCTAATAGTAATCATTTTATAAATTTGGGGGCTCCGACATTAGGTGAATATATTTTTAGAATTGTGATGTTTTCCTGTTTGACTAGTCTTTTTATCATTATACAATGTTCCTCTTTGTCTTGTTAAACTGCTGTTGCTTTAAAGTTTGTTTTGTCTAATATAAGAATAGTTACTCCGGCTCGCTTTTGGTGTCCATTTGCATGGAATATTATTTTTCCACCCCTTTACCTTAAGTTTATGTGAGTCCTTATGTGTTCAGTGAGCACTCAAAACCATGCAAATATGTGGAAATTAAATAACCTGCTCCTGAGTAATTATTGGGTCAATTATGAAATCAAGATGGAAATTTAAAAATTATTTGAACTGAATGATAATAGTGGCACAACCTTTCAAAAACTCTGGGACTCAGCAAAAAGCAAAAGTGATGCTAAGAGGAAAGTTCATAGCATTAAATGCCTACATCAAAAGTCTGAAAGAATACAAATAGACAATTCGGAAGACAGCAGAAACTTGGTTGGTGAGTTCTTATTCATTCTGCCATTTTGTGTCTTTTTAGTGAAGTATTTTTAGGGCATTTATATTCAATGTTATTGAGATATGAGGTTCTATTCTATACATTGTGCCATTTGTTGCTTGAATATCTTGAGTTTTTTTCACTGTGTTGTTATATAGGTTTTGTAAAGATTTATGTTTTATGAGCTCCATTTTGGTGTATTTTGAGGATTTTTTTTCAAGATTTAGACCTCCTTTTAGCAGTTTTTGTAGTTCTGGCTTGGTAGTGATGAATTATCTTAGCATTTGTTTGGAAAAGACTGTATCTTTCCTTGATTTATGATACTTAGTTTCACCGGATTCAAAATTCTTGGTTGATAATTGCTTTGTTTAAGAAGGTTAAAAATAGGACTCCAATGCCTTCTAGCTTGTAGGATTTCCATTGAGAAATCTGCTGTTAATCTGATAGGTTTTCTTGTATAGGTTACCTGATGCTTTTGCCTCATGGCTCTAAAGATTCTTTCCTTTGTCTTGATTTTAGATAACCTGATAAGTATGTGCCTAGATGATGATCTTTTTGAGATGAATTTCCCAGGTATTCTTTGAGCTTCTTGTATTTCTAGATCTCTAGCAAGGCTGGGGAAGTTTTCCTTGGTTACTCCCTCAAGTATGTTTTCCAAATATTTGGATTTGTCTTTTTTTTCTGGAACACCAATTATTCTTAGGTTTGGACATTTAACATAGTCTCAAACTTCTTTGAGGCTTTCTTCTTTTTTTTAAAATCCTTTTTTCTTTGTCTTTGATGGATTGGGTTAATTCAAAAGCCTTATATTTGAGCTTTGAGGTTCTTTCTTCTTGTTCTATTCTATCGCTGAGACTTTCCAGCACATTTTGCATTTCTCCAAGTGTGTCTTGATTTCCAGAAGTTGTTATTGTTCTTTTATTTATGCTATCTATTTCAGTGAATAATTTTCCTTTCTTTTCATATCTTCATGATGTTTCTGATTTAAGTTGGACTTTACCTTTCTCTGGTGCCTCCTTGATTGGCTTAATAATTGACCTCCACACACCGCTCTATCCAGGGAGCTGCAAGCTAGTCCTACCTCCTATTCCCCATCTTAATCCTGAATCCTGACCATGAGTTTTTGATAATCACGGATGGATAGTATGATGAAAATGGAAGTCAGCACATCATTTAGCTTCTTAGAAAAAAAATGCAAAAAAATGGCAGTTAAATAAAAGCAAAATATGGACAACTACTTAGATACAAATTAAATACTTTACTTACCTGAGTAGTTATTACTGTAGCTCATTCTTTTATAAAACAAAACAAAACAACATTGTACACCTACTACATTCCAGGAAGTGTGCTAGACTATAGGTGCAACGAGATATGCAATATGGTCATAGCACTCAGCAGGCTTACAGTTGGCAGGTGGGGGTGATGGAAAAATGAGTACATTGTCTTAACACATGACAGCGAATGTCCTGGGTTGCAGCACTACAGGTGTGGGGCCTCTGAGAAAGTGTGGGATGAAGCATCAGAGAGAGTTGAGATGACTGTTAGAAGAAGGGAGGACAAATTGGGGCCAAGAAGAGGGAGAAAGGGAGAGGGTGAGGGAGGAGATGAAGGAAGAAGAAAGGGAGGAGAGAATCAAAGAGAATAAGAGGGAGAGGGAGAGGAGAGAGCAAACATGAACCTGAACCTGATTACTTGGAGAACTCCCTAAGTTCAGTGTGCCTAGGGCTTTACATGTCAGGAGCAGATAATGAGCAGGAGCCAGAAAGGTGAGCAGGAGCCTGGTGATGAAGAGCCATGTGTGAGGGAATTTCTTGTTTGGGTACAAGGTTCATACTATGCTCAATTTTCCATTGTAGAAAGATCACTTGATCAAAATGGATAAAAAATTCAAATAGAGCAAGACTGATGGTAAGAGATTAATTAACAGATGCTCCAAATTTCCAGGGGAAAAATGGAAGGGACTTACACCAAGGAAGAGGCAGGTGATATAAAGAAAAAGGAATGGATTTCCAAAATATGTGAAAAAGTAGACGTCAGAACCTAAACTTAATAGTTAGTGGGAGGAGTTAGGAAGGGAAAGGAGTAAAAAATGTCTGAGATTTCTGATTTGGATGACTGGCAAGTAGTAACTTCATTTGCTGAGGCTGAGAATATTGGTGAAAGAATAACTTTGGTGGTGAGGCAGGAGAGTAAACTCACCTTTCAGCATGTGTTTTATTGCTTGAGGTTTTTGCAGGTCATATAAATGGAGATAATCAATCGTAGTTGGACAGTTTGACTTTCTATAAAGGGGAAACATTTAAAGTATCTCTCAGGCCTTGCAAAGACCACACATCTTAGAGGCCTTCTGCTTTTAACTATTTCATTTTGTCCCTTGGCAATCTCTGACCTTCAAAAAAGTGCCAAAAACCTTGCATTTTTCATTGAAAATTTCAGAGAAACAATTTTCTTAACACTTTTATTTCCATTCTTCAACTACCATGTTGGCATCATTTTTTCCACAAAGAAACTCCTCAAAAACAAAACAAAATCAATATGATCACTTTCTAAAAGTTCTCAGTTTCCCAGTGAAGTTCTCCTGGCATCTTTTGTGTTTTTAACTGTGTCCCAAGTACCTGATTAAGGGGTAGGTCAGCTTTGGGAGACATTCTTTGTAAAAGTGCTGAATCTGGGCAACCCCATTACCTATGGCCAGGAGGTGCCTCTGTTACAAATAATTTAAGAGAGGGGAAAAGAGAGGAAGAGGTTTTGTGAAGGAACTGGCCCAAAGTGCCCCTAACCTTTCAGGGCACTGGTCCCCTGAAGTTGGAGGCTAACTAAGGCTCTTTCAGGTAGACAAGGTCAAAAATTCACAGTGAGGTGGAATGTATGGTATTTTTGCAACTACATCTTTCTGTTGGGGGAGGGATGTAAAAAAAAATATATATATATATATATAAAGGTAAATAATAAATGCTTTCTTTGGGTTTGGACATTTTGCAGAATAAACTCTGATTCAGTAATAAAATGTCACTATTAAAGAGGTAAGTTGATCATGGTTGCGTTTGCATAACACTGTAAATTTACTAAAAGTTATTTAATTGTATACTTAAAGAATTTTATAGTTTTTAAATTATACCTTAATAAAGTTATTAGAAAATAAATAAGGTTCATCTTTGAGTAAAAATCAAATCTGTTAGCCTTAGAAGGTATACTATAGTTAAGCTTTATCATGTCTGATTCATTTGACACTGAATCTCTGATTAAAAATGTATGATGTGCTACAGATTTTATTCATAATAAACTAAGTTATAGCCTATTATAACCTGTAAAACACTTCTTGCAAATTACCTAATTTATTTTTTCATTTACATACAGTTTCTCATAAATTTGAAAAATATTTGCCATGGTGCATTCTGCAAACATTCCCATATTCTTTTGCTTAATGCTTATTTGCATGAAAGTAACTAGGATTTTGCTTGTTTGTACTGGATAGCCATTAAACCAACTTCAGTATCTCTGCCTTTTTTCCTGTAGTTTAACTGTTTCTAATTTTGTTCATATTCTAAATAGATGTTAGAATCATACTTTTTATTTTCTACTTTCTAAATAAATTATCTAAGTTAACAAAAATAAAAAATAAAAACACTAGCTGGGTGTGGTGGTGCATGCCTGTAGTCCCAAGTCCCAGCCTCTCAGGAGGCTGAGGTGGGAGGATCACCAGAGTCGGGAAGGTTGAGGCTACCATGAACTGTGACTGTGCCACTGCACAGCAACCTGAGTGATAAAGTGAGACCCCATCTCAAAAAAGAAAAGAAAAGAAAAAAAGTTAAATCAGCCACAGTTTTCCCTCAGAGAACAGTTTTTTAGATAAAGGCAATAGTGTTTTTCTTTGGAGTGCCCTGTGAATTTGTGGAGGTGAGAAAGAATGCCAATTCTTACTGCTTTTTACCTTGATGAATTATTACGATAGGATTGATTTGCTTCTGAGTATGTGCCATTTTTATAATGTATTATATCTTCACTTTTAAAGCCTGTATAGTCTTCCCTCTAGGGAATGTTCCTTATTTACGCATCCCCCACCGTTGGGCTATCAGCATACCAGAATGCTGTTGGTAATTTCTTTTTAAAATTAAACCTAATTTCCTCTTAATTTGTGTTTTGAAGTGCTGTGAATGATGGCCACTTAAAAATTCTCTAGAAGATATTTTTCCTCTTCTCCTCTTTGAAGGTGCTGGTCTGAGGTTGGTGACCGACACGTGGGACAGAATCTTTCCATTGGCCAGGGATGTGACTATAAGGCCATCATAGAACACGAGATCCTGCATGCTTTGGGATTTTACCACGAGCAGTCAAGGACTGACCGCGATGATTATGTGACCATCTGGTGGGACGAAATTCTTCCAGGTGTGATTGGGTGGAGATTGCTATCACATTTATCATTGGCTAAGACCAAGCTGGGATGACCAGGCCAAATCTGTGAGGACAGGAGCTTCAACCTCTCTAGTGGGAATGCAGACTATGAAGGGGTTATGATTTGTTGGCCCTTTATGTGGACTGTGCTGATCTGACCATAATTCATCGCAGATAAGAATTTCGGGGAATGGTGGTAACTCACTGTAGAGGTCAACTGAAAGTTAACCAGAAGCTTTGCTTTCTATCAGTGTTTTCATTAAAACTCTATCTAAAACTGTTTACTTTCCTGTCTTAATGAGTAAAGTGAATCCAGATATTAAAGTCAGTTTTCTGGATGTGAAATCTCCTGTGCCTCTAGAAGGCTTTTTGAGGGTTTGCTGATTATTCCATGACTACAGGACATACTCCAGAAGTATTTTTTCAGTTGCTTTACCAAATCAATGAAAAGTATTTAAAAACAAAAACAAAAATGGATGCTTTTATCTGAAATAACACCCCAATTACGTTAATTCTGGCTAGTTACCTGGGTTCTGATTAATCAAAGGTTAATGTTTTTTCTTCCTCACTTCTAAGCAACTTGCGGCTTCTGTCTTCACCTCATACTATGCAAAAGATAACAGTTTTGTCTTACATATTATGCACTTATATTATTCTAATGATTTCATTGTTCTTTAGGTTGTTTGTTTTGTTTTGAGATGGAGTTTCATTCTTGTTGCCCAGGCTGGAGTGCAGTGGCATGATCTTGGCTCACTGCAACTTTGCCTCTCAGGTTCAAGCGATTCTCCTGCCTCAGCTGGGACTATAGGTGTGCATTACCACCCCCAGCTAATTTTGTATTTTTTTTAGTAGAGACAGGGTTTTACCATGCTGATCAAGCTGGTCTTGAACTCCTGACCTCAGGTTACCCACCTGCCTTGGCCTCCCAAAGTACTGGGATGTCAAGCATGAGCCACCGTGCTTGGCCCTTACTTTCCTTAGTTGTTTGAGACAACGATGTAGAGTGCTTTTGAGCACACTAAAACATTTATTGAGCAGTTTCCTGATGTTCTAGAAAAAAAAAAGTCAATGCTATGTTTCTGAAGGTAACTAGTTTTTAGGTAGAAATTAGTGTTGGGAATGGGAAAACATTTTTTTTTTGGAAGTAAGAGATTAGTGAAACTTAAATGTATTTAAAATACCTTAAATGTTTCTATGCGTGGCTTTTATAAAATAAATAATAGCCTCGTGTAGGTATCTGTTTTATTTAGATCCCAGTTTTATATGCTGATTAATATATTGCGGTATCTCTATAATAATTTTACTTTTAGGGGCTCTAAAGAACTGCCAAGCTTTAAAATTAAGTATGAATCCTCAAAATTTTCTGTCAGGACTATAATAGTTCATTTTGGAGTAAAATGGTCAATGATTTTCACATGAGGTCAGGGTAGAGCTGGCTAATTGAAATTACCTGTGGGGTTTCTCAACCTGTGGCTTCCCAGTCTCTCATATTCTGGGAATTCTGTGCATGTGGATTGCTGCAGTAAGGAAGAAAACTGTAACTTTTAACAGTCTAATAGGTCATCAGCTTTGAGCCTACCCACATACTCCCACCATCTTACCACCACCCACTGACCGGAGGCCAGATAGCATTCTTCTTTGCCTCCCAGGCCAATCTAGAAAAGTTTTGGAGCATATTCACCCAGAGATGAAATAATAGCTCAGCCTTAATGTACCTGTCTCTCCTCAGTGGTGGTTGTATTATAACTGTGTGTTTGTAGAAGGAAGAAGGAAATGGTCGAAGGACTGAATCTCTGATTGCACGACTCAGGGTGCTATTAGACTTTGTCTGTATTTGCCTCTCAGCCTCAATTTCTTACCTTCCTGTACATATACTGGGCTGTGCTGAAAATTTTGTAAGCAAACAGAAAACATTCCTATTTCCAGGTCTTATAGAAGACAATACTTAGTGCTTTTAAAATGGTTTTAGGCCAAATGAGGTTTCCTTTATCAGAGTGAGCCAACACATTTGCCAGTGTCAAGTGCAGACTTGCTCAGCTCTGGTTTGAGCATAGGTTGCATATTTGCTCATCTCCTATCTGTGTTTTCATCAGGTACAATTCCATAAATCTAAATTGCCCGCAACCATGGGAGAACTATTCTCAAAAGAGACATCAACTCCAATAAGATTATCAACACAGGCAGTATAATTTATCAGGGTAATTTCTGAGTTTTATTGATTTAACTTTGGTTAATGATAAGCTTTCTGTTTAACTTGAGAAGACACTGGCAATGCAATTCTCTCCCAATGTCCACCTCCAGTTCTTGAATCAGAATTGTGTTTTTGAAATTTGTTTCCTTATGCTAGGGAAAAAACTCAACTTTTGAGGTCTAGCAGGGATGAACAGATGATAGTCCATGGGCCGTATCTACTAGCTTTTGTAAAGAAAGCTTTATGGGAACACAGTCATACCCATTTGTTTAAGTATTGTCAATGGCTGCTTTTGTATGCAATGGCAAAGTTGAGTAGCTACAATGGAGAACATATTTTCTATCTACTATAGAACAGGTTTGTTGACTGACCCCTGGTTTACAGGATCCCATGCCCTGGGTTACAGCCCCTTTTCAGCTCTCAGCTGTGACCGCTTATCTTATTCACTGTTGGGGGCCACTACCCACTGAGCACAGCTCCCAGCAGCTACTACGCCCAACAAAAACACATTGAATACATTTTTAAAAATTATTCAAAATATTTGTTTTAAGGCATTCTCATAAGAATCCTTAAATAATGCAGATTAAAATAATCAATTCTAACCTGATGGGATTTTTATTGTTTCTGTTTTGAGATAGAGTCTTGCTCTGCCGCCCAGGCTGGAGTGCAGTGGTACAATCTTGGCTCACTGCAATCTCCACCTCCCGGGTTCAAGCGATTCTCATGCCTCAGCTTCCTGAATAGCTGGGGTTACTGGTGTCCACCACCAGGCCAGGCTAATTTTTGTAGGTTTTTGGTAGAGATGGAGTTTCACAATGTGAGCAAGGCTGGTCTCCAACTCCTTGCCTCAAGTGATCCACCCACCTCACCCTCAAAAAGTGCTGGGATTAGAGGCATGAGCCATCACACCCAGCCTCGAACCAGATGATTTTATGGGAAATTAAGTAAAACACATCCAGTGATTTGAAAGTGCTTTGCTTCAGGCGCCACTGAGAGTTACCAAGAGATCCCAGACTCTTGACACTCTTTACAGTTCCATTGCCTCAAATGACACCCTAGGACCAAGTATTCTGGGGGGATTAACTTTCCTCTTCCCTGTTAAAGCTATTGTTTCTTTTAGACCCGTCCCACCTTCAAAAATGCTTTAATCTCTCTCAAGTAATCCCCATCCGTTGGGAGAATGAAACATCAGCTTTCAGAATTTACAGTTAAGGCAAGATATTGCTCAAACAAGGTCTTGCTCCTTAGCTTTTCCAAAAGCATTCAGAGAATCCCTCAAGCACCTGCTTGAGCACCACCTAACCACACCACACTTCTGCAACCCTGCATGTAGCTCTGTATGGGGCAGTTACATTTTCTTCTAATTTTTCAAAGTAACTGGATGAGCCAGGTGTGGTGGCTCACGCCTGTAATCCCCACACTTTGGGAGGCTGAGGCTGGAGAATCATTTGAACCCAGGAGATGGAGGTTGCAGTGAGCTGAGATCATGCCATTGCCTGGGTAACAGAGCAAAACCTCCGCCTCAAAACTAAACAAGCAAACAACAACCACAAAAAGTAACTGGATGAGGAGCTAGAGAAGGAGAAAGACATTAGGATGGGAAGTTATGACTGGAAGAGTTAGCCGCATTCTCATTCAGTTTTTCTGTCATTCCAAGAAGAAAATTAAAAATCTGCAAGCCTTTCCGTTAATGCGGCGCAAACAGTGAATTCCCAATGGTTATTAGTCAATTCAGAAACACTCTGATCAGTTATTGTGTTCAGCTTTTTACATTGCTGAACAATGTAAAAATTGCAGCACATCTTATCTCACTTTCACTAATCTCAGAAAAATATTTACCTTTCCTCTTTTAATAGAAAAATATTTTTTTTCTTCTTATTTTTTTTTGTTCTCCATGAGGCTATTTCTGAAAGAGAAGGATGTGAGCCTTGATTGACAGGATCCCCTGTCTTGCTTTCAGCTGCTTACCTTTACCTCTGCCCCTCAGATTTCCTTCTCCTAACCCATAAAGAGCTGCAGGTACAGCTCTGGGCAGACTCAGGGGATGAGGTACTCAGCTATTAGAATGATGTGTGTTGAATATAATCAATCTGTGAACATTTTCCTGAATTCAAAAATTTTTCCTGTCATTTGGAATACCTTCCTCATCTTTGCTATTTTACCTTCTCTTTCTGAAAAGAGAACACACACACACACACATTTATATATATAATGTATCTTTGGCATAAACATGTACACATATTTAGTAATTTCTAATATTTATATATTTATATTTTATATGTATTTTATAGTTATGATATACACATTAAATATTAATATATTAGCTAATGTTAATCAATTATGCATATTAATTTTACATCATATTGCTTATATAATATAACGTATATTTTTTTATTTTTTATATTTTTATTTTTTTATTGCATTTTAGGTTTTGGAGTACATGTGCAGAGCATGCAATACAGTTGCATAGGTACACACATGGCAGTGTGTTTTGTTTGCTTTCTCCCCTTCACCCACATTTGGCATTTCTCCCCAGGCTATCCCTCCCCACCTCCCCCTCCCACTGGCCCTCCCCTTTTCCCCCCAGTAGACCCCAGTGTTTAGTACTCCCCTCTCTGTGTCCATGTGTTCTCATTTTTCATCACCCACCTATGAGTGAGAATATGCGGTGTTTCATTTTCTGTTCTTGTGTCAGTATAACGTATATTTAAATAGATTTATTTAAGTACACATATTTAAATAGAACTGATTATTTTCCTCTTTTGGAGGGTCTCTGAGTAGTCAAAGAGAGCAGCATGGGGAAAATAACATGACCGAGCAGGACCTGTGGATTCTCTCTCTCCCTTACAGGTTACCAGCACAACTTTAACACCTACAATGACAGCTTTATAACAGACCTCAATACACCCTATGATTATGAGTCTCTGATGCACTACGCGCCTTTCTCATTTAACAAGAATGCAAGTGTTCCCACCATCACAGCCAAGATCCCTGAATTTAACTCCATTATTGGACAGCGCCTGGATCTCAGTGACATTGATTTAGAGAGGCTGAACCGAATGTACAATTGCAGTGAGTACCTCAGTTTCTGAGAACTGGACAAACTGCCTCAACAGAGATTCTCTCAGCCTTAGAGATTTCCTTTACTCTTCTTTAATGTTCTAGCTAAAAGAGTAAGAACAAACTGCGTAACTTTTGTTGGTCTACCTCTAGACAAAAAACAAACAAAAAAACTGTAACACAAACCTTACTGGATGGTTATAAAAAACCAATTACAAAGTTGTGTTCTGTAAAGTCAAAGTACTGGTCAAACGTAAGGAGCTGTTATTGTCTAGTTTCTTTTGCTCCTTTGAAGGATGCATTATTATGTAAAGGTCAAGATAGGTAATGGACTTGAAAGCATTCTGTATCCTGTAAAATTCTTTACCTACAATAGTTATTCCTAGAGTAATCTAATCTTCTGGGGTGGGATGTTTTCTAAAGAGGATCCCACTAGCCTTCAGAGATAAAATGTTTGAATCTGTTCAGTAAGTATATACAAAAGACCTGCTGAGTACAAAGCCAAGTATTAGAGGTACCTTGCTTATGGTTAGTATTTACATAGCAGAGAATGATTATACATTTTTTTAAATCTTGAATCTGTGCGGTAGGTTAGGGCTGTGTCTGTATTAGCAGGTACTAACATCTGATGACAGTAAGATTTGCATTTGAGAAAAAGTCAAGATAACAGGCTTTCGATCCTGTTGTATTTGAACAATGAGGTTTTAGTGGCTTAAGACATTAGCTATTTGGAATGAAATGTATTTCATTTTTAACAATGATAAAAATATTATTTTCAGCCACAACTCATACTCTTTTGGACCTCTGTACTTTTGAGAAGGCAAACATCTGTGGGATGATTCAGGGCACCAGAGATGACACTGACTGGGTCCGTAACGACAGTGCTCAGGCTGGAGAAGTGGATCACACCTTGGTGGGACGATGCACAGGTCAGTGAAAGTGGAAAGCAAACACACTGATGTGGTTCACCAGGTTCAACCAGGTTCTGCCAGCCACCGTGTTTTGCCTCAATCAGAATGTTGGTTATCCAACTTGAAAATCTGAACAAGGACAAAGAACATTTCTCATATCTTAACTATTAACTCAATAAAAAGCATCCAGGCTCTGGGCATGCAAAAGAAAGGTGCATTTAAGCAAAACTGATATTGATAGGTAGTTGATAAGATAAAACTTCAGAAAAAAAAGATAAAAAGGTGCATTTAAGCAAAACTGATATTGATAGGTGGTTGTTAAGATAAAACTTCAGAAAAAAAAGATAAAAATTTGTAAATAAGGGCAATGTCTCTAGAGCCACACGCTCCTAATGTGAGCCACATAAGCAATGTGGAATTTTCTAATGTCCACATGACTCTGGCTCTGTGGCACAACAGGTAACATGTTGGACTTTTAATACCTACATGAAAAAGTCAAAGAAAACAGGTGAAATTAATTTTAATAATGTACTTTGTAACTCAATATATCCCAAATAGTAGCATTTCAACATGTAATCAATATAAAAGTTATTGTGAGATGCTTCACATTTTTCATGCTAAGTATTTTAGACTTGACACGTATTTTACTCCTACAGTACCTCTCAGTTTGCACTGGCCACAATTCAAGCACTCAGTAGCCACATAGGTTTGGTATTGGATAGCACAGCTTCAGATAGTTCCTATATACCATTTGTGTAGTGAAAAAGACAGACCTGGTTTGAAATATGGTTTCACCACTTACTTAGGTGACCACAGAAAGTTGTTGTCATTTGGGTGCTTTTTAAAAAAGACTTGGCTTTCACAAACCTCTGGAAATATCAAGATACTGATGCCTACTTCACAGTGACAGTGGAAGAATAACGCATACAAAGCCCCCACCTGCAGACCAGCAGCTTCATTCTCCATTTTCCCTTTCTCTCCAGATGTTCCATTTATTTTGCTTTTCTATTTTAGCATTCTTGTATTCTGTGCCCCCCACTGAAATCATCTGAACTATATTTGGAAGCTGGTAAAGTTACAGATTATTACGGCTTTTTAAAGACTAGACTATTGCAAAGTCACTTAGTCCATAACTCTCTGAGAGTTGGTGAGATTCCCTTCCTGGAAGGGTCACAGCCTGTGTCACCCAGATACCAGGCCACCACAGGGAATGTCAGAGGTGATAAGCCACTGACACTTTTCCTCCACCTTTGGCAGAGGGTAAAAGTTTCTGTCACAGATCAGATTATCAAACATATCATCCCAAGTGTCCAAAGGTTGATCCAAGCCTGAAGTTTTCTCTAAATTGCCGTTGTAGCCTCTAATCCAACCTATTCTGTGGCTTGCTGCTAGGCTAATGTGCAGCTAAACACGAAGGTGGATCTTTATTGTGAGAGGAATCTGCTGAAAGAATGTTCTAGCACCAAGTAAGAGGAAAGGACTACACCCCAGAAGAAAGATCTGGAAAAGCTGTGTCATGTTAACTTGAGAAGCTATTATGCTTCTTCCACAGGAGGCATTTAATGGAATATGTCTTGCTGGTAGAGAGCTCTCGCATAATTCAGGTGGATGCGTAGACATGAAGAGCTCAAAGGATCCCTTGGGAGGATTTCTCTCATCCAAAACCCAGAGAAATGAATAAACACCTAGGTATTGGCAGAGCTGGGTATAATCCAGGCCTCCCAAGTTCTGAGCTTGAATTTTTTGACTCTCAATTTATACTTCCTAGTACACCTAGGCAGGAATTCCCGAGTAAGAATTACCTAGAAACCTTTTTAGCCTTGTGTGCTCTTTTTTTTTTTTTTAACCCAGGCATTCAATACATAATTATAATTTGGAGGTTTCAGGCAAATTCAGATATTGAGAAGAAAATACAAGGGAATGTAATTTGCCCTGATTTAGCATTAAAGCCATTGTGATATTTTAAGCTTTGTGGGAAGCTTATTTAAACCATCATTGCTTGCTGCTGATAAGAAAGGCAAGTGCCTCAGTTGAGGCAGGATGAAGCTGGGAGCATTATGGAGCATTGCTGCAGTGCCCAGCACTATACTGTACACTCATTTTATTTTTATCTTGTGAAATGTTTTGATTGAAGCATTTTTATATGGTGTTCACTGCTGGAACACTGTTTTAAAAACCTCTTTATATGCAAGAATTTTTCATTGTACTCAACTTGGACAAGTGTATGGTTTACCAAATGGTACATTTGTTTAGTTGGCTTGGTTGTTTTTAGGGGAAAGAGTTTTGAGATATCTGAGTCAGGTAAATCCCATCTCTGGCACTAATGTAGACACTTTTCACCCTCTTCAGTGTTCTTCTAATGCCTTCCTTTACATTCAGGAGAAATTCCCATTTAGTCTCTAATGTGTCCTGAATAGCCCTTCTGATAATATAGTAAAGATTATTTTTGCCACTGATAATACATCCAGTTATCAGACTAGCAATAGGGGAAACTGAACCCTTATCACTGTCAATGTTTAAAACCAAATCCTAAGCCTTTGAATTCCATAGTGTCTTATACAACGAGGAGACCATCCCAACTCTTTTCCTTGGAATGAATCTCTAATTGAAAGAATTGAAGTCAATGAGGAAAATAGAATTCATCTCACAGACACCAAATTCCATCAAACAATCAAACTTTGCTTGAAGCCTGTGTTTCTTTAAGTCAGAGGTATACATTTCACAATCTTGGAACAAAGACAATCAAACTGTGAAGGGCGAGCTTTAGCAGGTGACTAAGTCCATTGAGACACAATATTTATTGACAAATACCCTTCTTTTTATTTTCCTCAGAAGAGTTCTAGCTTTTGTTGCCTGGACAATGGCTGTGGTTCACTATTTCACTGTTTCCCACACCTTGGGGTGTGGGAAGCCAGAGATGTAATGTTTGGGTGCTCTTTCCATAGGTGCCGGCTACTTCATGCAGTTCAGCACCAGCTCGGGGTCAGCAGAAGAGGCAGCCCTACTGGAGTCTCGGATTCTTTACCCAAAGAGGAAGCAGCAGTGCCTGCAATTTTTCTATAAAATGACAGGAAGCCCGTCAGACAGACTCATTGTCTGGGTCAGGAGGGATGACAGCACAGGCAATGTTCGCAAGCTGGTCAAGGTGCAGAGTTTTCAAGGTACTTAGAGACATTCACACAAGGAATGATATGGCTTAAAACCTGGGATCCTGCTTTTTCTCCTCCTTCCCTCTTGGCTCCTACTCCTCCTTCTTTCTCTCTTCCTCCTTTTCCTCCACCCACTTCCTTCTCTTCTCAGAGCCTAACATAATATATGGCATGTTTTAATTACTCTGAATGTTTTAACTACTCAGAAATTAGAAGCAGTAACTTGGGTTTAGGTAGGGCTGAAATATACTTTTGTAAGAAGCCAATCAGAATATAGAAATCCAGTTTTCACTAGAACATTAAAGAAAGGCTAAGACTGAGAAAATGGATGATTCAGGAGTGGAGATCAGAAGGTAAAAGACATGTGAGAACTGATGCTGCTGGAGAGAGAGAGTAGTTAAATAGTTGACCAGCTCACGCCTGTAATCCCAGCACTCTGGGAGGCTGATGGGGGCAGATCACAAAGTCAGGAATTCAAGATCATCCTGGCCAACATAGTGAAACTCCATCTCTACTAAAAATCCAAAAATTAGCTGGGCATAGTGGTGTGCACCTGTAGTCCCAGTTATTTGGGAGGCTGAGACAGGAGAATTGCTTGAACCTGAGAGGTGGAGGTTGCAGTGAGCCAAGATCACATCACTGTACTCCAGCCAGGTGACAGAATGAGACTCGGTCTCAAAAGAAAAAAAATAGTTGACGATGGTGTTTTGTATCTGTTTCAGAAAAACAGGTGATGCCATTATTTAACATGCTAAAGTAATTTGAACCCTACTTGTGAAGTTGGTGGGAAATAAGTCATTTGTATATATTATCTTTCTATAATCACTTACATGTTCCTATGTGTCACTTTGTATGTTTATACAAGAAGGCCAGCATGTAAATGATTATAGATAGAGAAATTTTTTGTTGTAAAGTAGGAAAGCTTGTCTCCCTTTTTCTAGTTATGAATGAACCACCACCACAACAAAGGAAAACAAATACTTTGTTTATAACCCTGGATCTTGATTTATAGCCAGATTATCCTAGCATCCAACTGCCTATCTTAGCATTTAATTTCTCAGTTGGAATGAGTCCAGAGAAAGAAATTATTTTTTATATACCTGCTGCTTTTCAAGAAGAAAGCTTCCTTAGAGGTCATTTGTAAGAACAGGTGCCCAAATCTCCTATATCCAAGCCACTTTGTGGACTGACTGAAAGCTCTACAAATACAATTCTGAGGGGTTCACTTTTCTGACTGAAATTTATCATAGTTTGTATGATGAAAGGATGACAACTAGATTCCCTTTAAGAGTTGAGGATGTGTTCTGTTACCAAGGATTGTAAATATTTAATGAGAAAATGAGTTAGAGTTTCAATAATATTGATGGGACCTATTATCACTCACTTTCGTCTAAAGCTAAAAGTGTTATCCTTCTAAGCATAAAATCAACAAAGCAGACATCTCATGCTTAATTTAGTTTCTTACACTGCTGTGATTTGTGTTTCACTGAATTCAGAGTATGTCTGTGTAAATTCCCTGGTAGCACGGTATGAATGGATTTTTAAAGTAGTCAATTCTGATACTGTTTTGTTAATGAAGTTTTTCAAAAAGGTTAGCTGAATATCATTTAGTGTTATTTATGTGACATTCAACTTAAGATAATTGCAACCTATTTGAATAGTTTTTGACTTTTGCAAAACGTATATTTTGACCAAAATACTTACACACAAAATGTGTTCATATGCACATCTGTATATATGTCATATACATACATAATGCTTATATACAAACTTACGTGAAAAATGTTTGCATACTATTGTATGTACACGCACATGCACACACACACATTTTTACTGAGGCCAGGACTTCCCTATAGATGACAATTCTAAACTAACAGGAATTAAACTTGTCTCACACAATCTTAGTAGCATTATTGCTTGACTATTTTAGGGCAGTCCTGTGGAAGCATGTGAACAAAACTTTCTTAATAATTTCATAGATGAATCTCTGAATATATAGCATAGTCTCTTGGGTCTTCTTTCCAGTACCAAATTCCCACATCTCAACCTCACTTTGACATACTATATTAAGAAAAATCAAAGCAAGTACTCATTAGCAAGAACAGAATCCTATTCTCTTGATAGAATTCCCATCATCCGTAACCCTGCTTGATAAATAGTTCAAATTCTATACATCTGTCCCTATTCCTAGACTTTCTGGCACCTATTACCCTTCAAGTCCATGTGTCTTTCACTTGGCTACAGTGCTCTCCCCAGGAGATGGCAACTACTTAGATTTGTAGGTTACAGAAGTGGCCGTGTGCCTTCTCCACCTCTCTCCTATGTTCCTTGTAACCTAACCACACAGGCCATAATCAGTTCCACCCTAGGAAACAGAACATTGTTAGACAACTGTCCCTTTAAGTTGTCCTTAGAGAGAGTGGCCTGAAAACAAATGGAGAGGAAAAGTCTTTTCCATTTCAAGGAAAGTATAGTTCTGTAAGTAGATTTCTGGTTAAAAGACACAGAAAAAGGAAAAAAGACACTCATCTGTAGGAACTCAGTTTAGCCAACATGACTTCTACTTGGAAGCATTTTTCCTCTCCTCCTCAAGCCCAACTCTAGGGAATATCCTGTGCAGAATATCAATGTAGAGGCTTCTCTTGGAGGGAATTCTGAGTTGATCCGCTTTCGCAGTTTCCTCTCTCCAGTACCCCCAAGCTCCTGTCTGGCTTTTTATGCTGTTCAGCCCAGGATCCCATGTTCTAGAACAACTTTCTCAACATCTTTCCTCAGTCCTTAATTCAAAAGTCCCACTTCAAGCTCATGCTCAGAGAAAAAGCAAGTAGACCTAATCCTTATTAGAATGTGAATTACTCTCTTTGGATTACTTAGCTCCCCTACATGGTGGACTTTTGGATCATATAAGGAAGAGGTAAACGTCTACATGTTGGAGAGGCAGTTAGTTTCGGGTAGGGAAGATCCAGTTTGTACTACAGGTTATTATCTGCTCTTCAGCATTCCTTATAGCTCTCTGGCAACGAGTCACAGGTTGGACCATATCGAGTCACTGTTTTCTGATGTTTGGCTTACAAAATGGCTATTTTATATAATTCAGCCTAACACTTGGGCTTTCAGTGCTAACATTAGGGGTTGCAGTTGAACCAGCAGACTCAGGAGGAAATCCAGTACCTGTAGAATTATACTGATAGTGGAAAACAAATTCATGGTTAAGATTTGAATACAAATTTTAAAATAAATCATAGTATTTTAAAAAGCCATTTTTCCTTATTAGATATGTAACTCTGGAAAAGTTACTTAACCAGTTTACAGTAGTACCTATTTTATAGGGCTTTTGTGAGGATTTAATGAGATCATTTATGGGAAGCACATGGCACTGTGCCAAACTCATAAGTACTCATTACGTGTTGGCCACAATTCTCACCAAAATTATTCTCTGTCCTCAGGAGATGATGACCATAACTGGAAAATTGCCCATGTGGTGCTCAAAGAAGAACAGAAGTTTCGCTACGTTTTCCAGGGCACAAAAGGTGACCCTCAGAACTCAACTGGGGGAATTTACCTGGATGACATCACTCTGACTGAAACCCCCTGCCCCACAGGGGTCTGGACAGTCCGGAATTTCTCCCAAGTCCTTGAGAACATCAGCCCAGGAGACAAGCTGCAGAGCCCTCGATTCTACAATTCAGAGGGATATGGTTTTGGGTTAACTTTATACCCCCGTGGCAGAGCAAGCTCCGGCAGCTCTGGCTACTTGGGACTTTCTTTTCACCTGTGCAGTGGGGAGAATGATGCTATCCTGGAGTGGCCAGTAGAAAACAGACAAGTGATAATGACCATCCTCGACCAGGAGCCCGATGTCAGGAATAGGATGTCCTCAAGCATGGTGTTCACTACGTCCAAGTTGCACACATCTCCAGGTGGGTGGTGTCAGCATAAATAATAACTGCCCCTCAACCCAGAAAGGCCCACAAATGTGATTCTATGGTGTAAGAAAGAGTAACGTTCCCCTCACGTGGTCCCCTTGGGAATATCATTAACATAGTCGTGTTGGAGTTCCAAGTTAAGATGTTCGATGCCATCACATTCTCCTTTCCTTTCCTAAATTCACTCATCAAACATCTATTCAGGGCTTACCATATGCCAAATTCTGTGCTAGGTACTTAGAATACAAGTGAATCAGCTGGTCCCTGCCTCATTGAGCTCATTGTGATTGAGGAGACAGATACTGCTAATCATTTATCAGATACCTGGAACTTGCTAGGCTCTGTGCAGAGCTAATGTACTTACTCCTAAAATAGTACTGATTGCCACTATGTCCTTGAAATAAACTTACAGCAGTAAAGAAATGAGCAAACTATTTTTTTCTTTACAAAAGATGTAGGCCTCAGAAGAAAGAAGCCATAGCTGTCCCTCTCTCTTCATTAAGGAAGTCACTCAGTAGCAGACAACTGATCACTCAGAGCTGTGATTCTCTGTCTCTCTCATCTTTCAAATCTGAATTGCAATTCTCCTGTCAAGAGAAAATAGCCTAATTTTTTTCCAATATTTTTTTTTCTGATTAACAAAGCCCTATATCCTCATTAAAGACAAACTGGAAAGCGAAATATAAAGAGGTAATGTGATTTTATGTTACCTACAACCTTGCAGAGATAAACAACACTGTCATCTGGGACAGGCCGTCCAAGGTGGGAACCTATCATACGGACTGTAATTGTTTTAGAAGCATCAGCTGGGGCTGGAGTGGTTTCATCTCACACCAAATGCTAAAAAGGAGGAGTTTCCTGAAAAATGATGATCTCATCATGTTTGCGGACTTTGAAGGTACTTTGTTGGTCTTTGTGTGTAAATAATCCTATGCTCTTGGTACTCTACTGATTTTATCCTGATTTTAAAGCACTCATGGAGAGTGGGGACGAGATCACAAAAATGTGTTGTAGAAAAAACTCCTTTAATTCAATTGGCCAAGGACTCACATCTTTATTTTAACTGTCCTTGAAAGAAACTGAAATTTTAGTGTCATCTTTCTGATAATTTTATCAAAGGTAACAGTTCACTGATTTCAGTTTAGTTTCCATCAGACTGTCCATGCTAACTTTACGTTGCATTTTGCAAATTCAGTAAATAAAAATGTGACTTGATTATTTGAAAATTTTAAAAAGCCACTTTTCCACTAAGGAAAACATCGTCACTAAGGGTGATATCCATGGGAGATAGAAGCAGTCTGGGGAACTTTCACCAGAAGTGGGAGTTAATTGTAGTCAGTTACTAATCCTGGATCTTCCTTATGATTCTCTATTTCCTGAAGATATCACCCACCTTGAGAAGACTGAAGTTCCCATTAAAGACAAAAGGCTGAGCCCCCAAGGCTTCATTCTCCAAGAGCAGAAACAGCAGGTCTCCAAAGAAGGTTCGGGAAAGGTCGTGATAGAAGAAGCCCTACCTGTCAGCCTGAGCCAGGGGCAGCCCAGCCGACAGAAGCGGTCAGTGGACAACATGGGCCCCCTAGAGGAGCACAACTGGCCACAGTACTTCAGAGACCCATGTGATCCAAACCCTTGCCAAAATGATGGCATCTGTGTGAATGAGAAGGGGATGGCAAGCTGCAGGTAGGTTCTGTAGCTGGGGAGAGGAGAAAAGCAAGCCAGCAGACCTGAGTGTTGTGCATGCTTACCCTGGTAAAGGGTGCTGTTTGCAGAGCAGGGCAAAGGCTACCTAAAATGGTCAACTGGGTGCGGTTTTCCTTGGCTCTACAAAGGTGTGCCCTGGGCTCATGGGCTTATGCTGCCAAGACAGAGGCATCCCAGGTCTCCTCGTCTCTTGATTTTCATCCCTTTTCCTCCTTTGGGGCATTGTCAACAGCATCTTGGATACTCCTGGAATTTCTATAACATCCAAGATGGCTTTTAGTCTAGGGACTTTCTACTCCATAACAGTGGGTCTCAAGACGAAGGTTAAATCTTTACTGACTACAGATGTTCCTAATGATTATTATTCTACAGTCTGTCATTTACACTGTGCTATTATTACAGTTATATTTTTAATAATAGTAATAAAAACTCCTGATATTTCTGACCCCTTGCTATGCATCCTGAGGATCTTACATGCATTATCGAAATTCACTCTCACTGCCACCTGTGACATAAAGGCTCTCTTTGGCCCCATTCAGTGCATCAAGAAATTAAGCTTAGAAATATTAAGTAATTTATCTAAAATGTACCCAGATGGAAAATGCTGAAGCTGGGGCTTGCATCTAGGTCTGTCTGGCAGCACAGTTTGCTATATTTAATAGTTCTTTTTATAATGTTTGCTTGTATAAAACCCTAAAAACTGTTTCATAAAAAGATGTAGGTGATGATAGAAGCAACAGTTCCATTTGAATAGTAGCAGATGTAGGAACCATTCTGCCAATCTCAAAAATTTATATTTCTTCTTAGTTCTTTTTAGTCTCCACTTTGTTTTCTTTTCGTAGCTTTTATTTTGAAATAACTTTAGACTTGCAGATGCAAAAATACTACAGAGACTTTCTCTGTGCCATTCGCCCACTCAGTTTTCCCTAATGTTAGCATATTACACAAACCACAGTACAATTAGTGTAGCTAAGAAATGAACATTGGCACAATCCTAGTACATAAATTACAGACCTTATTCACCTTTTCCCAGTTTTCCCACTAATGTCCTTTTTTCGTTTTAGGATCCAATTCAAGATCTCACGTAATATTTACCTTTTACGTCTTCTGTCTCCTAATCCCCTCCAATCTGGGACAATTCCTCAGTTCTTTCTTGTCTTTCATTACCTTGACACTTTTGAAGATTACTGGTCGGGGATATTTTTTTGGGTAAATTTTTCATTGATTTGGGTTTATCTTATTCTCTCATGATTAGATCAAGGTTACACATTTGTGGCAAGATTAGTAAATATGTGATATGTCTTCTCACTGCATCATGTGAGCAGGTACATGATGCTGATACGCGTCATTACTGGTGATATAAACCTTCATCGTTGGCCAACAGCACGTCTGCCAGGCCTCTCCACTGAAGAGTTACCATTTCTCCCTCTGTAATTAATATATATCTTGGGAGAGATATTTCAAGATCATGGAGACATCCTGCTTTTCCTCAAATCCTCACACTAATTTCAGCATCTATTGACACATCCTACGTGCAAAACTCACCACTGGGATCTTCTAATGTTAATTTCCTATTTCCTTCACATTCATTCAAATGAATTGTTCTGTAAAGAATAATGGCCCCTTCACCCCATTAATTTGTTTATGCAGTTATTTATTTCTATCACTAAGGAATCATAAACATTTATTCAGTGGGCTCTGTTGCAGTAATTTCATTATTTATTTTGTTGCTTCTGTTGTCCCAGCTTTGGTCTCTGGGAGCTCTTCCAGGTTGACTCCTGCGCTCTTTCAACACCAGACCTTGTGAACACAACATGACTTTCTGGCACAATAGCATACTCTAGGCTCATCTTTAATTTTGCCTGCCCCACCCATAGAATCAATCACTCTTCCAGGAAGCCCTCTGGTTCCTTTTAGTGGGGAAGGTTCACCTGTTTATGGCCTCCAAAGCCATGGGTCTGCATGTCTTTGCCTGACAGGCCCTTGGATGCCAGATTCCAATATGTACCCCTAACAGTCCTCATCCTTCTCAGGCTAAGGGAGGCCAGCGTTGCCACTTATATGTCAGCCTCTACTTGGCTAAACTATTCCTCTCCTAGAAACCTGCAGCTTAGAGTTGGCTGAATAAGTTTTTCTAAGGTAACACTAGGGGATATCACTAAGTTGTGTTTGGAGGGAACTGGGTCAGAAAAAAGAATGGAATAAACTTGCTGTTATTCACTGATTTCTAAGAAGTCAATTCCCAGGATAGAGAGGAGGCCTTGGAAGGTAAAATCATTTAGGATTAGTAAAAGAAAATACTGACTTCTTTTTCCTTTTCTTGGTGGGGGACGGGTTTTCACTCTTGTTGCCCAGGCTGAAGTGCAATGGCACCATCTTGGCTCACTGCAACCTCCACCTCCCGGGTTCAGGCAATGCTCCTGCTTCAGCCTCCAGAGTAGGTGGGGTTACAGGTGCCTGCCACCATGCCTGGCTAATTTTTTTTTATATTTTCACCATGTTGGCCAAGCTGGTCTCGAACTCCTGACCTCAGGTGATCCACCTGCCTTGGCCTACCAAAGTGCTGGGGTTACAGGCATGTGCCACCACACCTGGCCAGAAGATGCTGACTTCTGATTGTTTCACTCTGCCCTGTTGAATTCTGCTGAGTAGACTTTCTAGTAGGAATGTTTGAAACAAAGGCTGGAATTTTTATAAAGGTATGGATGAGACACTGCTGTTTATGTGCTTTGGTTCTAAGATTATCAGCTGATCTTTATACTAGATAACATTAAGAAAGAAAACTAAGGGCTGGCCCTTATGTGTCGAATACCTTGATAAGTGCCATGTCCTCATTATTTCATGTGAACTTCAGGGCAGCCTCCTGAGACAGTGACAGTACAATAATCTTACAGTAACATTTTATTTGATATTATTTAGAAGTTTTCAAACTATAACTCATGCTCTAAGTCAGACTGTAGCTCAGGAATCTCCGTTGTAGCTTATATTCTTAGCCAGTGTCAGGCAATGTATTCCTTAGTGTCTCAAACCTTCCTCCTGAATCCTTGGTGGCTGAGAATCCTGGATCAGGAGGCATACCTCTTGGGATTAAATTTCAAGTGTGAAATGCTTACTAACAATGTGACCTTGAGCAACTTTTGTAACTTTCCTGTAAGATGAAGATGATGAGAATGGCCAAGTAATAACCTCCACCTCAAAGCGTTGTTGCAGGGTTAAATTAGTTGATTCACATATAGCATCTGAAATGAAACCAGGCACCAGGAAGACCTGCTCAGCGAGCATTTGCCATTTTTATTCTGTGGTGATGCATGTTGCTAGGAGGCACCTGAGGCCTGGGTAGTTCCCACACTCCCTTCACATCCTTTTCCCTCAGGTGCATCTCTGGACAGGCTTTCTTCTACACGGGGAAACACTGTCAGGCCATGCAGGTGCACAGCAGTGTCCTGAGCCTGGTGATTGGAGGCACGGCTGGCGTGATCTTCTTGATCTTCTCCATCATCACCATCCTTTCCCAAAAGCCAAGGAAGTGACCTGCCTGCTGGCATGTGCGAGACCACAGAAGCACCACCTCCATACAGGGCCTCCTTTCCCACCATCAGTGCAGTTTGAGGCAGCTTTTTTTTTAATCAGCCTTGCTTTGGATAGGACCTCCAAGGACTAAGGCCTCCAGCCCCATGTGTAACCCTTGTCATGTTTATGTCCCACATAATTCTGTTATCCTGCTTTATGCTCCTAATGTATCTAGTGTGACAACACTCATCACATTTCATTGTAAATCACTTGTTTGATTGCCTGTCTTTCCCATAGACTGTAAGCTCCATGTGGGCAGGCACATGTCATCTTCACTGACCATGCTAGCTTAAGTGTCTAGACACATGGCTGGCACATTGTAGGCACTCAGCAAAGATTTAATGAGTAAAACAAAAGAATGAATAAGATATAGAAAATCTCATTTCTATCTCAGATCAAATATGTATAATGAAATCAAATACTCACTTTTCATTAGACACATTAGTGTCATTATTCTTTTAAGATCTTGTTAAAGATTTCAAATAAAGGTTCTTCTAGGCAGTCATGTTTCACAGCATTTGCTTTCCTCTGTGATTCTAAGAGAAGGCCTTTAATAAATTTAATAAATATTGAGTTAGCACCTTCTTTGTATGTGGTATTATATGTAAGTATGGGTGTGCATGTGTGTGTTGAAGGATGGTGGTGTTCAAAAGCTTTCCCAGATCTTTTAATAGTATATTTTATGTGCTAGTTATGTACATTATCATATTAACAAACTGAAGGTATTGGAGAACTTTAAAGAAGTATTTTTTAGATATACGCTCTTTTCATAGTTCCTAAGGAGATAAAATCTAGCTGGGGCAAGGAAATTCCAAGATAGGTCAAGTGAAACACAAAAACAAAAGCAACTACGTTTCTATACCCAATCAGCAAAGAGCCAGCTCTGAAAGTCTAATAAAAGAAAAGATTTTAAGGATTCTGAATGGTCCTTTAAGTTATCAGGTTTTCTAAGTAGAGGCTTTATGACACTTTTGTAGAGTTAAAATGCACTGGAAACAAAATGAGAGTAGAAAAGTTTCTTTAATGCAAAAGTATGAGAACAGTTTGTAGCAAGTGAAAACAGCACCCTAGAGGGCAATAACCCTCAAACTTGAGGTGCATCCGTATCCCAAGTATGGCTGATTACAACAAAGCAGGGCCCCACCCCCAGAGTTTCCAGGTCAGTAGATCTAGGGTGGGATCTAGGGTGGGATCTAAGAATGTGCATTCTTAAATGTGCAAGGATCTAACAAGATCTAAGAATGTGTCAGGATCTAGTAAGTTCCCAGGACAAGCTGCTACTGCTACTGACTCCCCCACAACCCCCACCTCACAGACACCTTGTGAACCACGGTTCAACCCAAATGCCCATTGATAATAGACTGGATTGGGAAAATGTGGCACATATACACCATGGAATATTATGCAGCAATCAGAAATGATGAGTTCGTGTCGTTTGTAGGGACATGGATGAATCTGGAGAACATCATTCTCAGCAAACTGACACAAGAACAGAAAATGAAACACCGCATATTCTCACTCATAGGCGGGTGGTGAAAAATGAGAACACATGGACACAGAGAGGGGAGTACTAAACACTGGGGTCTATTGGGGGGAAAAGGGGAGGGCCAGTGGGAGGGGGAGGTGGGGAGGGATAGCCTGGGGAGAAACGCCAAATGTGGGTGAAGGGGTGAAAGCAAACAGAACACACTGCCATGTGTGTACCTATGCAACTGTATTGCATGCTCTGCACATGTTCCCCAAAACCTAAAATGCAACAAAAAAATAAGAAAAAAAAAAAAAGAGAGATCTAGCTTCCTCTACTTTTATAATTAAATGCAATTTTATATTTAAAAAAATTTTTTTTAATTAAAAATAAATAAATTAAAAAAGAAAACAGGTCAGAAGCCAAGTAAGCATCCTGGCTGCAGGCTTGGATTGCCCGACCAGCTAGCTGGGTAATTTTAGTAAGAAATCATTTAAGCTCTTGGTCTTCGTTTACTAACATGTCAAATGGAAATAATCGCTATCTCCTTCCACACGACTTTACCACCTACAGAGTAGCAGAGTAATACAGTGGGATAATGAATATGAACCTACCTTAGGGTTTAATATGTATGAAAATATTACTATTCAATGTTCAGACTAGATAGGAAGCTATCCTATCACTAGCCCAGTTATATTATGTCCAAGACCAAATTGGAAATGGACTCCAGCTTTGTTTTTCTCTGTGCTTCACAGTCCTGCAAACCCTCCACTAACCTCACAGTTAGGCCTGAAGAAAGCTGTGCCCTTAACACTCTGCTCAGTATCTGACCTCATAAGTGAACTCTAGGCTTTATTGCTGCTGCTGCTGCTGCTGCTGTTATTTTCCTTTTGTTTATTAAAAGGAGCATGCTCTGGTCCATCTATCTCAGTGGGAAAGGCCCCATCCCAAACCAAGGACAATATTTCTTAAATATGTGAGTTTCTTTCTGGAGGAAGCAGAAGCTCAGATTTCAAAGACAACCTAGTATTTTCATCTAGTACTGCAGTTTAAAATTGCTAGGTCAAAATAATGATAAGGAGGTGCCAGAATGAGGGTAAAGCATTTTGATAGTAGTTTCTCTCTAGATTCTCATCCAGCACCATGACTACTATCTGTGTTCATCACTCTTGGTGATTAACGGTCACCTCTGTTGATTAATGATCTGGCTCACTATAGATCTGACATGGTATTCGGCTTTTCTTTGAGCCCAAAGACCTCAGTCATTCCAGGAGGACTAGCAGATACTTTATTCTTTTAAGGTGTTGGGATGGTGATGGCAGAGTTGGCCTGTAGGATGGGGAGTAGATAGAGAAATAAGCATTTCATCATGTCTAGGCACTGTGGAATTCAGGATTTAGATGAACAACATGAAAAATATGGGAAATCCTCCTGCATATGGGAGTCTGACTTCTTTAACCTTACGTAGTGGGAATAAGTCATAGTGGCTCAAAATTTTGAAAATGTCTCATGCTTCCTCCACCCTCTCCCTGACATATCCCCATCTGTTTCCTTTCCTTTTGTAAACTGACCTGAGCCAATCTGGCCATTCACAAATGGCAGGTTCTTTCAGTAATATCTGGAGCCTCTGATAATAAGAAGTGGGTGGGAATTATAACCGTCTCTCTGATGATGTTAAAATGAATCAAGATTCAAACTAAGTTCTGCTACACATTCATATTTATTAACCATCAAGTCTCCAAGTAGCCATCTAACCTGTTTTCTATGTGTAGTGAAGTCTCTACTCTGTCCTTTTAAGTGCTCCACCAAGCCTCTTTGATTAAAGTTTCATTCCAGATACATGTAGTCAAATAATCTGAAGGCCAGGATCAGTTACTTACCTACCCCATGGTTTCTGAACCTCAGCCCTGGTGATATTTTGAGCTGGATATTCTTTTCTGTGAGGGCTGCTCTGTGCATTGCAATATGTTTAGCGGCATCCCTGGCCTCTACTTACTGTAGGCTCATAGCACACTTCCCCAGTAGTGACAACCCCGAATCTCTTGGACATGGACAAATGTGCCTGAGGGACAAAATCATCCCTGATTGGGAATCACTCTTCTAGTAGGATCAGCCCATGAAACCTTGTATTAAGTGAGGGAAACCTGGGACCAAATAGAGTTCTAGCCTAAGGTTCTACACCAAAAGTTAGCTCACTGGGCCTGCCAGAATATTGTACCTACAGCTATCTTGCTAATTCTGTTTACCAATGCGAAAATTACTCCTATCAACCTTTATACTAGTAAAAAATCCTTTGCTGTAGCTTGCTATAGAAATGCATAAAGGTATGAAGTTTTGCAACAGATATTTCTCCAGTAGAGACTTTTGATTAGCATCTTTCAAATGCTAACTAACTGCTACTGGAATGTGTATTCCTTTTCAGAGTACTTTGCACACTATTTACCCTCCCTCAGGGTGTGGATTATAGTCCCCCTGCAGGCTGTATACAGTGTGATACCCATATGGAAGCATTTACAAGCAAACTACCGATGACCTCACACCTCTCCTTCTTGAGCTCCTTCTTTCGCATGAATTTTATCATCTGTTTTATGGCTTAAAGAAATTTTAGAGATTCTGAAATCCACCTCTTGTATTTTGGTAAACAGAGACAATTCTAGAGAGGCTAAGAGCCTTAGGCAAATCGCAGAGCCACTTAATAGCAGAATCTATTATTCTTGTTTGACTACAGAAAGGCTTAATAAGATCAGAGGTTTGGAAGGTGCAATCAAATATAGGCTAATCTATATCTAACACTATGAAAAAGTCTATTTCAGTTGTTTTTCCTTATTAGGGATGTCAGTTTTATGGATGATTAGTCACTACTCAAATTTCTATGTCTTTATAAATATGGCTAAAACGTCTTTCTTATGTTAGTTTTAATATAAATGTGTTTTTCAATAATCTTTAAGCAAAGAAAAGTTTGAAAAGATGTATAGTTATCCTGTAGCTGAGAGTATCATTTAGCAAACTCTTGAAAACTCTAGTGAATGGGGGACGGGAGATAATGGAGTCAGGTGCCAGTAGTCTCTAATGAGTACTGATGTGAGAAAAATATGATGTGAAAGATTTGATATGGGTAGCACAGCCCAACAGGGTGTGTGTGTGTGTGTGTGTAAGAGTTGCAGCTGACTCTGATACTGGAGTAAAAACAAGACCCATCTCTCTTTGTCTTCTACAATTTTGCCAAGGACTAGTCCTAGAATCCCAGAATAGATTGAGACATGGCCTCATCTGGGTCACAGCATCACTTAGGACCAAGAAAATTTAGGACAAATTGACCCATGTGTAGCTCACCAGCTCAATGAAAATTATTAAAAACAATTAAAGATCCTATCTGGTCAGGAAAATAATAGAAAAATGGGGTTGTAAGAAAGGTATGAGAAGAGACCAGGGGGCAGGGGAGATGTTCAGATGACCATCCCCCAACAAAAAGGTCACCAACGTCCATTCTTCTTTTCTCAGTAACAGAATCCCCAAACTGCAACAGATATTTCCAGTAGTCAAATGGCTACTCAGAGTCTAGTTTACATTCTCCTGCTTTTTGCAGGTAGATGGGTGATATGGTTTGTCTCTGTGTCCCCACCCAAGTCTCACCTTGAATTGTAATCTCCATGTGTGGAGGGAAGGACCTGGTGAGAGGTTAATGGATCACGGAGGTGGTTTCCGCCATGCTGTTCTTGGGATAGTAAGTGAGTTCTCATGAGAAGTGATGGTTTTAAAGTGTGGCACACTTCCTTGCTCTCTCACTTTCTATTGTTGCCATGTAAGACGTGCCTTGCTTCCCCTTTGCCTTTTCCTATGATTGTAAGTTTCCTGAGGCTTCCCAAGCCTTGCAGAACTGTAAGTCAGTTACACCTTTTTTCCTTTATAAATTACCCAGTCTCAGGTGGTTCTTTATAGCCATGTGAAAATGTAATGATACAGTGAGGTCATGTGGCTGAATTCAGGCCAATGGAATGGAAGCAGCAAAGTTGTATGTGAGCTTCTGGTAACTTTTCCTAAAGGAGTCTTGGTGCACACCTATAGTCCCTTCCTCTATCCTAAGGACTGATAAAGGAGACGTAATGGCCAGAGTGAGAGT